TTTTGTATTTAAAAACGTCCTTACTCCGGTTTGTATAAATAAAGTCGCACATCCACTTCGATACATTCGTAAAAGTCTCCGTGATAACACATGCTAAATTGCTGGATCATTTTGTACGTCGCAAAAGGTAAAATATAGTGGAACATAAATTTCTTTAAGAAGGCTCACCGTAAAGACCAGTAAGCAAAGGCCGCGATATCCGTCTAAAATGGTATATATACGTATAGTAATGAAATGTTAAGTTTTCCTAGAGATAATTTTAGAGCAATAGTAATATGAATATATATTTTCTATATTTTCTTTGTTGAAGTCTACTACCCGTTTGGGTTCTCGAATGGAGACCAGATCGCGGCAAACGAAGCGTGAGCGGTTCTATTGCCAGGTATACTATATATGTCCTAAGAAAGGTCGCTGTTAGTAACTGGGGAAAGCAGAAGAGGGATGGTAGGCTCGTCCGGGGAAGTACCACGGCCTCACAGTAATGCGGTGTGAAATGGAAGTTAATATACTTTCGCGTTTCGTCTGGTAGCCTAGGCCTACTATTTTAAAGGTCGTCAACGCATCTGCTAGCCCCTTAAGTGCTGTAGATGTATATTGGTGGTGGTATCATCTTAACCTGCAGGTGGAACGCTTTTTTTTATGTGAAAAGTTGCCAAGCGAGCAGACGGTTCACCTGATGTTAAGTGAATACCGCCGCCCATGGACATCTGCTACACCCGAGGGTTGCAGACGCGTTGACAACCTTTTGAAAATTGGGCTCCGCCTACCTCACTCACCAGACGAAACGCGAAAGTATTATACTTCCACTTTACGCCGGTCTTCTGTGAGGTCGTGGTACTTGAACGGACGAGCCTGCCCATTCGTGCAACAGCCGAGGCTGCTGCCTGGTTCACCACCGTTAAACCGCTTGCTCGTGTGACAACTTTTCACATAAAGAAAAATAAAAAAAGTGCACTGTACCGTGCACTTGGGGACGCATATGTCCAGCCGTGGACAGGAATAGACCGATTGATTGAGATTTTCTTTGTCGAGGCCCTGAAAGACAGTTGCGTGTTCGATTTCTTGTTACCGCGCGGGTAACAAGAAAGTGTTTACCATTTTTTTTCTGTTAGAATCAGCATCTATACATTGTTGAGTCTAAAAGGCTTGGTGATAACTGCATAGCAATATAGGTATACTTTCATTAGGTTTAAAACAGTAACAAGTTTAGTTTTTTTATTTTCTATCTTGCATACAAATATTCTAATGCATCATGAACACATTAGAGCTTGAGACAAGTGCATTTGAGTCCAGAAGAACTTTTACCACATAATGATCATTGGATCTCATACACGACAACCGCATCAACTATTTTCGAAGCCAATCGCGTTCGCCAGATTAAATTGACCCACCACACCCACAGAATACTAACGCCCGGTTTCTGAAACAATGATCATCAGAATGATCTTCTTAATCATGAGAATGATCAATTCAAATAGTTTTTTAACCATTCTTTTGGTAACTTAAATGACAGTACCTGGAGAACCGCTGATTAGTTAATTTCTACGATGATCAGTGCTTCAGAAACGGGGCGTCAGTTTTTGCGCCCGGACATCTGATCCAATGTACGTGAGACAACGTAAAAACGGATTTATTCAGACCATAAAATATGATATACCGATACAATATGTTGAGATCTTATTTGGAGCGCGTATCCGTGATCGGTTATTTGCAATCATACATTAAGGCGATCGTCCTTACATATTGGTTTGGTTACATTCGCGAGTGTGATACATTCCTCGCAAATCGCCCCGCCTCCCCCTCGGTTATCGCCCCGTTTTATTTCAATAACATGCCTCACAATGCGCCGCGTTATTCGGTGCAAAGTGAAACCTTGTTTTCACTTTTTTATGTTCGCATGACAAGTTTATATTATAAAAAGACCTCATGCGGTATTGAGCGCGGAGTGAGAGACTGTTACGAAAAATGTACTGCTCTTAATTGCTTTTCATGCTTGCGCAAAACTGAGAATAGTTTGTACGAATTAAATAATGTAATGACTAACTTATTACCTGTTACCTAGTTACCTGCCACTACTATGTGGGTTTATTTATCAATCGTATACTTGTCTTAATCCTTCTTGTAAAGAGCTAGTGGAACAATTTATCACTATCCGCCTCGTTACAATGTCACTGTCGTTTTCAATGCAAAAGTGAATAAGTCTCCACTGGGCGAGTGCGTTTAACGTCTAACAGCCGGTATCAATATTCTATCTACAGATAGATTTCGTTATTGGAGATAGAATTTTGACGTAAGTATTATGGAGCTAATGTCAAATACCTATCGCTAGTAACCAAATCTATCTGTTGATATAATTATATTGAAACCGGCCGTAATACTACATCACTGTTTTTCGTCCGGCGGTTTGTCAAGGACTGGCCGGTTTGTTATTAAGAAATCAATACCGTGAGAAAAAAGGTTATTTAAATGTCTCGCACTTCATTCGTTATTGTGCGCGAACTATATGAATACACAATTTTTTCACAAACCTTAAAATGATGTTGATATCGTATTTAGGAAGGCTTCTATTACATCTTACATATTGCCTGTAAATCATCGTATAATAAGTATATCTCGTGAGTTCCTAATTATATATGCAACATTGTCTTATTTGGCTAAAGGACACACACTTGTAAAATCACCGGTCAGTTTTTTATTATTATTTTAGCCAGCGCGCGGAAATGTATTATGATTAAAAAGTAAGAAATGTAAAGTAATTACTCAGGTACACGTATGTACATACGTGGTCGGAGAAATAATGCTTGTTATTTCCTGCGCTGTTGCAAGATTTAAATCGCTGCTATTACACAAACTACAACGGTTTTGTATCAATTCCAACAATCAATACCAAGTTGGAACATGGATCCATAAATTGGTCATGTAAATAATTTTCATTGCTATTTAGCATTGTATATTAATATTATTGTAGCTTTTTTAAAAGTTAACGATACTGCTGATTAGGATGACTCTGTGTAGATGAGGGCTTACACCTAGATCCGAAAGAAAATTGTGTACATCTTTCAAAAACTGGTCCGGAGAATCGAATCCACGGCGCCAATGAACGCTTAGCAAACTTGAAAAATATCAACTATTTTATGCAACGTAAAACAGAAAATCATGCAACAAGTTCAAAATTTCACATCTGAAAGCGCCATGTTGTTTTCCACGGCGTAACTTATCTTACCGCTTGCTTATAAAATTATCGAACATTCCAACATGTTAAGTGGGAAACCATTATAATATGTTATTTCATTAGCACCTCGTTCAACAAGACTTAATAATGGAACCAACACGTTGCGCAGTAAACGCGCGGCACTTACGTTGTAAAGTTGTAAATTCAGTGTAAATATGCAATTCCGAACGATGCTACGGATTGTCAGTTAAATACTCGATCTGTATAATAAAGGTGCCTATTAGTACATTAAATATATCTGTTAGGCAATGTATTGGCGAAGGCCTGTAGTATGAGGCTCATAGAATAGACGTGTATACCTGTCGTCAAAGAAAGCAAAAGGGGACGCTGGGTTCGGTGACGATCGGGAGCACTGCTTTGTTCGGCCTAAATACATCCAACGAAGCCATGAGATCTGTTGAAGGTGTTATCACAGTAGCCTGCTTATCAGCAGCGCAGAGGGGCAATCAATTCGTCAAATATCTTGGAGCGCTTACCAATATATTAGGAGCGGCCAGCGATAGTGTTTCAATAGGTAAGCAGTAACAGCCCCAAATAGCGCTTTTCTCGAGAGAAGAATTTGCCCTGATACCAAAAAAAAGTTTATTAACTACACATGCACGTAGCGATAAATAGCAACCAACAAATTATACTGTGATTTACACGTAGAACACAAGTAGCATTCACCCGATAAACAAATTTGTAAAAGGTTATCGCAGTCGATATCCTATAATAAATGACATAAACTGAATTTCAACAATTTATTGAGGTATTGAATTTTGGGAATTTCTAATCAGCAACTTGCGTTGGGTCGGATTGCAATTTCTTCGGAACACATTTGAAATATTGCCAGCCTCGCTTGCCTACCCCCGTGTATGATAGTACGTCACTGCTCGCCAGTAAGTTACAACGGTCACATTTCTATCTCGAGTACGAAGCTGCCGAGAATGTCCGCGTTTCCGACCGGTTCCCTGCGGCCGTCATCGCCTTGTTTACGTTGCAGTATGGGTCGCGTTCGTCACAACGCACTTAAACTCAACCACGAGCCGCCGTCAATCTCAATCGAGCACTGCTCATAGGCGGACCTTAGCCTCAAACTTTCTCGTATTGACAATGTTTCGGAAGAAGCGATGATTTGAATCGATTTTTTTTTAATTATCGTTTGATGTACAGGATTTTTAGGTTTTTATGTTATTCATTTATTGGTAAGGTTAACGAAGCGGAGCACCGTAACTCGGTCTTGTGACAGCTGAATCAACTTATCACTAATTATCAAAAAGAAAATATTCCGTTAAACCGATCTCTACTAAACTTCATTTCACTCAAATAATATGGTGGTGCGGGCTCTTTTTTTAGCACCTTAAAACCTATTTGTAGGTTTATTTTTATCACAAAAAACGTGAGCAGAATCGAACTATTAAATCTAATTTGTGACACGCTAATAATTCTTCATTCATTCCGTGCTATTTCAGTATTCACTTTACCATCACATACGTTTGACTATCTTAGTCACGGTGTTACAATCAAATGAAAAGCGTTGCTATAAGCCTGATTCGAATATAAGATTTTTGTTTCCCGGCAATTCCAACCTAACACACTCTCGGCGACCAGAAATGTGAACCGAATCAACACGAATTTCTCAATGGAGCCGGCCATAAGCGCCGCCCCCACAAGTCTCGACTGTGTTCGTGCGCACAGCTGATGCAATCGCTCCACTCAGAGGGGGCGTTTGGAAAGAAACTATGGAAGACAGTTCCGCGATTGCAAAAGTGTGCAAAATCGTCCGCAGGCGGCGCATGCAGCAGCTCAAACTGTGGCAGCAGCGCGAGAAGGAGTGGGCGCGGTCGCGGCCGAAGCGCGACAAGAGCAACAAGCGCAACATATACTTCAACGACAGCGTAATGCTGCTCGAGGCGGCGGCGAGGAATGACATCGAGGAAGGTAAATACTGAACACACTTGTTGGCATCGAAAAAAAAGATGTATTTGTGTGAATGTTTGAAGTCTATGCTTTCCCTTAAAGCGGACTGCACGGGACCGTTCAGCAGTGGACGGCAATAGGCTGATATTGATGCTTGCACTATTACTAAGACTCCGCTGTCTGTCTGTCCGTCAGTCACCAGGCTGAGTGCCGTGAACCGTGTGATGTGTTTCTGGTTACCGCTATAACAACAAATAGTAAAAAACACAATAAAAAATATTTATGACGGCCTTCCACACGACAGACATGTTTTTTTTTTGTGGTTTTTATAGTACGGAACCCTTCGTGCGCGAGTCCGACTAGCAATTGAGCGGATTTTTTGTTGGCTTCTTCTGTACGTTCTTAATCTATCCGTCCGAATGTAACATCTTCAATGGTCTAAATGGCTTTATTGACGTGTGACGTGTAGTTTGATGTTAGCCTGTGTTAGTTCCGGCTTCGACAGCTTCGGCGAAAGAGGTCCGCATGCAGACGCGGACTCGGGAGATAAACGTGCTACACGACGCAAACGAATACGCCGTCCGTTCCGCTGCACTCCGCACTGGTGTATGGCTTTTAGTGAGCTAGTGCGTTCACCATCTGCGGCTGCATCGAATTTTCCCATTAGTTAGGATAGCGCGCAGGCCATAGGCAGTACCTTATAAAAAAAATGAGCACGTGACTTATCTGATGTTATGTGATTGTCGATGCCCGTGTGCAAGCAATGCCCGCCGATTTACTCGTTTGCTAACGTTTTATTGCATGACGAGAGACCATGAATGAGTACTTCTACTTTATGCCCGTTCTGTGCGATCCTGGTCGTTCCCTGGAGCAGTCGCTCCATTAAGGTTACGCCAGATAGCGTTTCGTGTCTCTTCAACACTAAGATGTATGCGTATATTAATATATTGGAATCTTTCAATACAAACTTTGCCACATTGCCGAGACGTACGAACTGGGAATTTTGGAGATATGTTAAGAATGAAAGACAATAAAATAAGAATTAAGACAGTCTCCAGTTATCATTTAAATGAATCTTAAAAGTTTGCATAATCTTTAAAATATTGATTTTAAAGTCTCCCTAAAATTTTATGCATTTTATCAGGTGTACAAATGAATACGAGGTTCCACATATTGTATTTTAATAATAATTCACCATTATCAACGTTGGAAATCCTTTGTAGAATCCACTCACTTGACTTAAGCGGAAGTCATGTCTTTAATAGACAACTCGATGACTTAGATTGATGATTGTTTTTCCATTGTGGCTATAAGAATAAGTTCGATTTTCAAATCAACTTTTTGTTCACGCTCTTTCAGTCGCTTCCCGTTTGAGCATCGTCAAATCGATTAATCTAAGGCCTTGCTTTTTGTATAATTTGTCTTTTTGTTTGTATAAGTACGAAACAGCTGATTTAATAATCGTTTAATTTAAAAAAAGAGGTGAATTTTAAACAATTAACTGAAATTTACTGCTATTAGATATGATTTGATGTTTTTTTTAATGAATGTCCTGCGTAATTTCTTTGACGATCTTATTTAAACAAGAAAAAAAAAAGTCTCGAAGCCGATCCGTTCCCTTATTACAAACACACGTGTAATCTTACGGAAATAGAATACACGATCTAAGAACTCCACGTGCATTATTCGCGTATCGGATGCCCTTTGCATACGGAATGCATATATCGATGATCTAATATGGCGTCAACCAGCATGTATACGATTAGTGCGGTCGCTTTGAGTCATGTGCGAGCGGAACGGGGCCTGAAAAGGGCCGATCTCGCGCCTCGTTCGCAAATAAAAGCACGCTGTCGAAATAACAGTTTTACTGTTATACTGTTATTTCGACAGCGCGATAATTCAGCCGAGAGTGCGACGTCCTTACGCTTCGAGGTCGTGTCAAATATTCAGACAATACGGACAAAAATAAGAGTATAACGTCATTTTTTTTCTTTTTAACTTAATGGCTCGTTATTTGTAAGCCAATGAAATAAAGTCGTATTGTTATCTACACTACACTGCTATCGACAACTACTAACATTGTATCATTATTCTCGCAGCTGCTTAGGGAATAACAATGATTGTAACTGCTACTATAGCCACTTTAAGGAATAGACAAAGAATACATTCTGTCGTTTTGTGAGCCTTAAGTAACAGCATTTTCTTTATACTTGGTACAGCATTTACATTTTTATCACTTACCAATTACACTGGAATAATGTATTGAGTCTTGAACAATTAATAATTGAGTAGTCCACAAGGTTAACTTTATTGGCTAAATAAATAAAACCGGCATATTTTTCAATACAACTTCAATACCGCAAACAAAGTTACGCCGAGGAGACTCCAGTTTTACGCCCAATTATCTGCTTTCTATATGGCAATTTCACCAGTTGCTCCAATAGCGAAGTCGAAATTACTCAATCCAAGCGTACTGAAAACGTTATAGATTCCGCAACGCCGCAGATCTGACCTTAATTTACGCGGTCAAACTCTATGGTGATTAAGCGCTCGGAATTGTTGCTTTCTTTCATCTTTCTAAAGTCGATTCCCTTTCCAGGAAGTTTCACAGTCGGAATGACACGTATAAATAAGGCGCACTCTCTGCCTCGAAGCAAATATCTTTTCTATCGACTTCAAAACAATTCTCATTTCGTTCGTATTTTTTAATGTTTTTTACTTCACAACTCCTTTATTTACGAGCTTATTTAGAAAATTCTAGTTCGGTTAGCTTATGTTTATTGGTAACACGTATCAAGCATTGTACTTTGGATTTAGGAGATAATTTATCAGAAAACTCCTTAAAATATAAAATGTATACTTTTAGAAATTAACTCCGTAGCGCAGTTGCCAAAGTGTTGACTTCAGCGCTGGGGTCGTGGGTTCGATTCCCACACGGGACAATTACTTGTGTGACGTACAAGACAATTGTTTCGGGTCTGGGTGTTTGCCCAAGTGAAATGTATGTTTGTAAAACGTCCTTACAACACAGGAAAACAGTTTTAATATTAAAAAAAAAATAATAAAAACAATAGTGAGTGAGAAGTGATATGAGTATTAGAAGTTGGTTTTTGTTTTTTGTTACTAAAAATCTACCAGTTCATAAGCATCTTTTTTATGCTCGCGGATTGAACGCGACGCGCGCGTACCATGCGCGGCGACTTCTCAAACCGCCCGCTAATACACCCCCCGCGCCCCGTTGCAGTGAGGAGACTGCTCGCCAGGGGTGTCACCCCCGACGCGACCAACGAGGACGGCCTCACGGCGCTGCACCAGTGCTGCATAGACAACAACGAGGCGATGATGCGGCTGCTGCTCGACCACGGGGCGAACGTGAACGCGGAGGACAGCGAGAAGTGGACGCCCCTGCACGCGGCCGCCACCTGCGGCAACCTGAACCTGGTCAGGGTGCTGATACAGCGCGGCGCGAACCTGCTCGCTGTGAACGGAGACGGCAACATGCCGTACGACATATGCGAGGAGGAGAGGACCCTGGACGCCATCGAGAGTGAGATGGCTGCGCGCGGCGTCACCCAGAGGCTGATCGACGAGACGCGCGCGGCCACCGAGATGAGGATGCTGATGGACGTCGCCGAGCTGGTGAAGGACGGGCTGGACCTGGACGAGCCGCGCGACAACCAGGGCGCGACGCTGGTAAGTCTGAATGTTCGTCTTTTGTTTTCTTTGTTTTCACCTGTCCTGATGTCAAGCGATAACCGCCGCCCATTGACATTTTCAACAACCGTAGCAGGGTTGCCTAGTTTTGAAGATACGCCTACCGAGCCATCAACTTTCCGCCAAGTGTTAAAATTCCTTCCGTAAAATTATGGTAGTTGACATTACAATTTTAGTTACGTTTATAAACTACGTAAAGCTAACTAACTACTGTTCATGTAAACAAATGTACATTAATATACTATAAATACCTGATGAAGAATCGATATAAGTTCGTTTAAAACTTTTGCTTTTGTAATAGAATGTAAAAGGATTAGTGACAAGCGCAAAAGTTAGTTTCATTAAAGTAATTTTTTTATGTCTCTACCTCTACGAAATTATGATCTATTATTGATTTATTACTATAGATGACATCTGGACTTGGTTGGTAACTGGAATTGTGATCAGGTTAATCTACATCATCTTGATATAATTATCTTATTCCAAATTATTCATTGTACAGACTTTATAAGGAATTTAGTAGCAATTTTTTCTTTTGACCGATGTAAACTTTTAATCAATGTGCTATTAAAATAGTGTCGATTGCGCTAATCGACGGTCGCTTTAAAAAGCGATTTGTATCAATTAAAGTATTTATCAGTATACAGTATGCCTCAATAGTTTACTGATAATAGGATTATGCGGCCTATACGTTTTTGTGAAGGCAATTTCCTGCACTCACTTAATACTGTACACCACGGACGGAATAATTCCTCCCCGGGTATTTGCAAACTCCTCCAGCACTCGGCTGGTGTGTGCTAGATGTTAATGTAAATTCACTAAACATTAGGTGAACCGGCAGCTCGCTTGACAACTTATAGCATAATTATAGCTTACAGCATAGGACTACCCGAATGGCGTAGTGGGTAGTGTACCTGGCTCCTGCGCCAGAGGGTGTGAGTTCGATCCCCACTACTGGAAAAATATTGTGTGATGAACATGGTGTTTTTCTAGTGTCTGGGTGTTTATATATAATATGTATTTATTTAGAAAAGAAAAGTATGTTTATCAGTTTTCTAGTGCCCATAGTACAAGCTTTGTTTAGTTTGGGACTAGAAAATGTGTACAAATGTGTCCTAAATATTTAAATATTAAAAAAAAATTAAAACCTGCAACGCTTTTGCAACAACAGCTACCGTACAGATAGGCTACTCACTTCAGGAAGATACCATTTTCTCACAAAAGGCTAGCGTCATGTAGCGCATTTATAATTTTCCTTTGTGGGTCAGCAACTTGTGGGAGTCATGATGGTCTTCACTTACTTTAAAGTTAACCGCTGGCCCTGGTGTCATCTCTTTCAAATAAAACATAAAAAAACCCAGTAGTTACTCTTCACATGGATTAAAGAAAATGGCCGAGTATGAGGGTCTTATGGTTTCCGTTTTAAGTTATATGCTACAAAACCAATGAGTTCCTCTCGACCAAAGAAATTTCACACATCTAGTACATTAAATGTAAAATTACGCTCGCTACTTGAGTTAACTCAGATTTAGCCTTCCGTAGACTTTACTTTATCGAGCTTATCGTAAAATACGCATTTATTAAAACAGTAAATCATGCCACGAGCTTTTTTCCAAAGTTTTAAAAAAAAAATCCAATGCTTAGGGTAAATTAATATTGTTAATGTAAATTTGTAATGACACCTTTAGTAAGCCGACAACATTAATTCGCGATTTATCACTTCGTACTTATCATTGTATTTAATTTTATCGTTTCTATAAATATCTCAAAATATCACTGGATATCTAACTGAAGTTTTATTGTAGAGAAAGATATCAATATCAACAAATGTCTTCTTTCTTCTAATCACTTATGCTTGCATGAGTGTTTGTTCAGTATGTTGGAAGAACTAAAGCAAGAATAAGTAAATAATAATAAATCAATAAATATTTTAGGACACATTTTTACACAGTTATCTAGTCCCAAACTAAGTAAAACTTGTAATATGCGTACTAGACATACTTGTTTTCAAATAAATACATGTAATGGATATACAAAGCACCCAGAGATTGGAAAAATACTTTGTTCATTCCGCAATGTTTTTCCAGTATTGAGGGTCGAACCCGCACCCTCTGGCGCAGATTAGATTCACTGTCCACTACGCAAATCGGGCCTTCATTATGGTGTAACAAAATGATAATTTTTTCCAGTTCCTTATCATAATGCATGATTTATGTCACAATTGTAAACTTTAATCCCACGTCATACCCGATTGAGATAGTTATTCCTTTTTTCCTCGAAATCTCGAGCTATCCGATACTATCGGTTTTTGCACACAATTATCATTTATTTGGTACATGATTAATACTTGTAATTGCATTATATTAATAGTTGGTGATGAAGTAGATTAATTAAGATAAAGAAAAAACAAAAATTAAATACCACTTATTTATTTGTGACTGGACAATGCAATTGTATAAATTGCAAACCAATTGGTCCATTTACAAATTAAAAGGCTTAAGTCAGTACAATTGATTGATGTGCCACATGATATCCTGTGCAATGTTTTCAATGTGTTCCAATAAAAGGTAATCTTCATTCATTAGTGTTCAAGCTACACTCCTCTGGAACGCCCTTCCCTATAAGATCAAAACAGCTCCAAATAAGTTTAGTATATATTCAAAAACTTTATTCGAGAATACTTATTAAATCATTGACTTTTTTTTTTAAAACATTGCCCTTACTTTAGGATTACATTATCCTGTAAGGACGTTTTACAAACATAAATTTCACGCGGACAAACACCCAGATGCGAAACAACCGTCTGTGGGTCACACAAATAGTTGTCCCGTGCGGGAATCGAACCCACAACCCCCGACGCCGAAGCCAATACCTTGGCAACTGCGCCACGGAGTCATGTGTGTTGCCAACTTATGCCATGTGTGTTGTTTATTATCCATTTATGTATTTATTGCTCTATATATTTATATATCTAAATATTTAATTATTTATGTACCTATTTATACTTACATATATGTTACATTTTATGGCACGTTTATTAAATTTCATTTTTATAGTCTTCATTTAAACCTACCATCTACTTTTCACCATGACGAGGGTTGACTGGTAGAGAATGCCATTGGGCATTAAGTCCGCCCATTGTAGCCCTTACCTTAAGGTGTAGCAATGAAGCTTAAATAAATTAATAAATAAAATTATGTGTAAATGGTTGGTACTTCTTCATAAATACAAAGATATGTGTAAAATACATTCAAGAACTTTTTTATTACCTTTTAATGAAAGGTCGTGATTGTCTACTGGCTAAAACGTTTTCGTGAGCTCACGGGCAGTTCTCATACGCCTGGTGAGAGACTGTCCCACTGGGACAAATCCTGAGCATTTAAGGACTATGTGATATCACTGTAATTTGCATAAGTGTTGACCGATACATTTAAAACTTATATGTATGTTATGCATGTGTCAACATGTGTGCACATACTTGTTCTATTTTGGTATTTCGCTTCTGTTATTTATTTGGTTGGCTTTCAAACCGAATTAAACTTTAAATACGTTAAGCTTGTTTTAATACCTTAGGGAAATCGTTATTACCATCTACTATTATGCAAGTTTAATTACATTGTATCAGTGAGGAGTTTTGACGACTGACCTGTTTTGCTTCTACGTTAACCTGCGTTTGGGCTCTTCAACGAGTAGTTGTATCTATTGATATGTTTTAATATTTTTCCCTCGCAGTTGCACATCGCGTCGGCGAACGGCTACATAAAGGTCGTGGAATTCCTGCTTGAGCATCGAGCCTCCACCGACGTGGTGGACCATGATATGTGGCAACCGGTGCACGCAGCCGCCTGCTGGGGACATGTGCGTGACATTTCTGTATTTTTATTTTTAAGTGATCAATCTTATTTTTAGTGCCAGTGTTTGCACTCCTGGTGAAAAAAGAGGATGATGTGGTTTTTTTTATAGATAAATTTAAAAAAAATTTTCGACGCTACGTGATTCTAACCTTTGTCTTCAGGATAACGCACTCAGATGCTCTAACCTCTAAGCTAAGCGGCTGATGACGTCATGGCGCGTTATCCATAAAAATCTTTTTGTTTTTTTTTTTAATTCCTTTAAATAAAATGTACAACCATTTTATCTATCCGATTGATGTCGATGTCTAGACTCAGAGACGTGCTAATTGAACAAAATGTTTGAAAAACCATGAACAATTTTAAAATTATACAAGGTCGTTTGACATTGGATTTTTTATTTCTGTTGGTCGCGTTAATTGCGCCCTAGTGAAGTAGGCACCAAGACTTTTGCGCATGTCACAAACGATAGCATCTAACCAATAAAACCGATTGGTTTTGGGGGCACCTTTTTTAATCTGGGACTCCTGCTTAATCAACAACATTGTTTCCAATTACACTATACTTTATTTATATTCCGTCGTAGTTAGCCTTATAAAACGTTTTCTCCGTATTGACTCCGAGCTTCGGTGCGCCAAATGAATATAGTTCGCCAACGTCTTGTCTTCCTCAATCTTTTTGTAAATATCGGGTAGTTATAAATAAATTTTGTAACATCCTAAATATATCCCAATGCTGGGCAAAATCTGCCTCTGTCATAGGCTATGAAGCGTAGTCCACCACGCGACCCCACTGTGGATTGACATACTTAACATTTGTATATATATAATTTATTCATGCAAGTTTCCTCAAAATGTATTTCTTCACAGACGAGCATTTGATAAATCGGCATTTAATTTCAATTAACAATTTCAGACACCGGTATTAGAACTATGGTTGCATGCGTATGCTGAATTTAAAGCGAGTGCCCGAGCATTGAGCTAACACGGCTTATTTAATATTTACAAGTATTAAATAGATTTAATGACCCTGAGTTATGACTTTATTCTTTAATCGTTTTGAAATAACAAAAAAGTATATGTTGTTAGGGCCGTGATAGCGCAGTGTCCAGACGGTCGCTTTTAATTCAATACAAATTATGTACTCGAGCAATCTGTGTTAGATCCCCGGTACCGGCACAAATGAAATTGTTAGTTTTAACTGCTGACTCATCATATGCACAGCGGTCAAGGAATACATCGTGAGGAAACCTGCATATTTTCGAAATAATAATATAAATATAATAAAATATTTCGAAGATATGTGAAGTCCACCAATCCATGGCCTTTACCCAGCAGTGGGACATGTATCGGCTGCTACCATACTTTTACTTTTATATATTATTGAACATGTACTTGAGTGAAACTTACGCTTGTTGCAGTTAGAAGTATTAGAGCTGCTGGTTCAGTACGGGGCCGACCTTAACGTGAGGAACAAGCACGACGAGACACCCGCCGGTCAGTTCCTTTCAAATTATTCTAAAGGCCAGTGCCAAGATTATCGAAGTAGGTTATAGTTTAGAATGGTAAATTCGCGATATCACGCGTGCGTCATTCAGTATATGTCTGTATAAAATCTCATGGCTCTAACCAATATACAGCGTGTCGTTACAACCGCGACAATAAATGAACACACGTCTAACGCTACATGCCAATAATCAAAAAAAAATATTAACGTTAAAAATCCATAATTAAAGAAATATATTTTTCAAATAAACTAATAAAGTAAAAAAGAAACAAAATTTGTAACATCCTATACAACTACAACTGACTGATTCATACATTCAGAGACGTTATCATTCGTTGCCACGGTTCACGTTGCGGCGGTTGTGGGTTCGGTTCCCACACGAGACTATCTGTGTGAACGACAGATAATTGTTTCGGATGTGGGTGTTTGTCCACGAGAAATTTATATATGTAAAATATCATTACAACATAGGATAATGTTATCCTATAGAAAGGGCAATATTTTTGAAGTAGAAACAAATTAACTAAGTTGACTTGTTAATCTACAATCAAAACTTGTGTCTTTTTTTAGATATATGCGAGGAGGGCGAGATGAGGGGTCGCATACTGCGGTTGGCAGCCGAGCAAGAGGAGATTAGGCGGCGGGCCGCTCACACAGCCGGCGAGAGGCTACGCACCGCTCGCCGTTCCTCCTCCACCGCCAGCACGAGCAGGTTCCTCACTACCACTGCACTCTCATGAACCGCGGGCCTTATTAAACTGGCCATTTTAGCTCGCTGTTCGTAACTAAGTCATAAAACGCCCCAACAAGGGGAGATCAGGCGCCGGGCCGCTCACACGGCTGCCTAGAGGCTCCGCACTGCTCGCCGTTTCTCCTCCACACCAGCACGAGCAGGCCCCTCTACCACTGCGCTCTCATTTAACCGCGGGCCTTATTAAAATGGCCATTGCTCAGCACGCTGCTCGTAACGAAACGTCCCTGAATCTCCCCTTGCTCGTAACGCAAAACGTCCGACCAAGGGGAGATCAGGCACGACTTCCACACATGTTTAAATCATACTATTTTACAAATCCTACATTTCGTTTTTAATTTATCGAAGTTTCCAACACTCCAGCATATCAGGCTATAAAAACGAAAAAGTTGACAACCGTAAAATAGCCTAATGATAATGAAAGTCAATTACATGAGTATGCTTCTTACAGAGTGCGATCAGTCAGACGGACGTCTTTACGTGAGAAGCAAATGGCAGCGAAAGCGGACGCCAGGGGCGAGGCGAGACTCAGGGAGACGTTCGACTCCGCAGTGGATGACGAATTACAAGTGAGACTTTTGTAGTTATATTACTTAAGTATGGTAGGGGCACGCAGCGGTCTTCGCTGTTTCACGACCTCACAGAAGATCGGCGACGAGTGGAAGTGTCACACTACCGTTTCGTCTGGTGAGAGAAGTAGCCGGGGCTCACCTTAAGGTTATTAAAAGGTGGCAACGCATCTGCAACCATACAAATATGTTGCAAATGTCAAAAAAATAAAGCATGCACGCTTTTATAAATGAAACTAATTTTACGGATTTATCGCGTTTATTTTTAATTTTAATTCCCGACGTCTGTCCCGTGACCATGAACGCTGTAAAGGGTTCGAAACGTCGGGAATTAAAATTAAAAATAAACGCGATAAATCCGTAAAATTAGTTTCATTTATAATGTGTAATCGCGTAAATACAAGAAATTATTATGCACGCTTTTTTCGTCCACTTCACAAAAGCTTACGATTGCATGACCGGAACGCCATAATACATTATTCTGAGGAACTTTCAAATTCCCGAGAAATGAGTCAACCTTATTCGTACAGCCACTTGGGTTGATGGTTATGAGGATGCGAATCTGAGCTGACAGATTCTTATACATGTCACTTGTGCTATCTTCGAGTTGGTTTTACATTATTTACTTAATAGAGCATTAGCTTTGGAAGTCGGAATAAACCTGTAAGTTAAACCCTTGGTTAGCCTTATAATGTACCACTTTGTAAGACAGTTCCCCAATACTTAAAACTCGACAAATGTTATGTTGTCATTAGAACAGATTTAACTTATCGCCTTTGCATATTTTTTCAATTAATCGTTCGTTTGCTTTATACTGTGTGAATGTGTGTTCACGATAAATAAAAAAATAACATTAAAACCGCACATGTAATAAATTTTAATAATTAATGATAATTGATTGTAAAGCATGAAGCATATGACATTTAATAGGCGAGGTTAGTTGATTTGCACAGTGTTGTGGTTGATTTAAAAAACATGTAAATTGGTGTTTTACTAATATTCACGTTTCTAAGAAGGCACAGTTACAAAATTGTATCTTCCTAAGAACCTTAACCTTAATAAACAACACTAAAGATATTCTGAACAAAATTTATTTTTATATGTAGTCCCATCACCTCGATAGATTTATTTGAGCGGGGAAAGTAACTTTTAAATACGCGCTAAAAGTATTTCTCTTCCTTAAATAAAAATTTTCATCAATTGCCGCCCTCAATTCTTTATCTACGGAATAATTTTTCTAAGAACTTTCTTGAGGTTGGGGAACAGAAAGTAATCACTAGAGGCTAGGACAGTGCTGTAGGGTGTGGATTATTGGTTTCTTCAAATCAGCAACCCCGCATAGCAGCCTTGTCAACGCGTACTTTGTGAACCATCACGGTTGTGAAGAAGCAAGACACCTGCGTACGTCCATTTTCTTTTATTGCCTGCTATAAATTATGTAGGGTGTTTGCGTAAAATGCAGCAGTAATCTTTTTTTGTTTCCGCAATCAGTAAAATTCCTTTAGAATCCCCAAACACTTTTGCCATAAGTTTTCCGGCGCGTAGGGTGACTTTAAGATTCTTTGGTGGGTCTGTTCCTTTTTTAGGCACTGCCTTGCTTGCTCTAAGGGTTATAGTGATGATCCTACGTTTCATTACCGGTAACGATTCGGTTCAAAATACTATGCCGATTATATGAAAATTAAATCCTGGCACCTATCTTGCACTGCTAGCTTAGCTCTACACACGGATAGTTTAGTCCTTTTGCTAATGTTTTCACTCTTACACGGGCCTCTTTGTGTACAAGATTCTCAACAATTTTTAGGTTTTCTTCAGTAGTGGTACTAACGTAATGCTCGATTTTTTTTCAACATATATCAATCATTGTAATGATATCTTGAATACCTGATCACTGAAACACCTGATCGTTTATCATTTTCCTATTAACATGTCAAACATTTTTATTAACCAAAAACAAAACAGACTTCAAATACTCACTGTTCATTTTCTATTTGATTTTGTGGAGTACCATGACGTATCTCCGGAGCTCGAGGTCCAATACCAATGAAATTATTATAGGACCCCATGGGAGCTAATCACAACCCAATGCAAAAAGGAAATTTCAAAATTGAAAATGACGGGACTTTTGAGGTGACAAAGATAAAAAAAAATACAACCTAATTGAGATCCTCATTTTTTGAAGTCGGTTTTAACAAGTAACGTCGACTTTTAAGCATTGCCCCGTTGGTTCAATTTGATGCTTGTGGAACATCATTTCTACAGGCTGTTATGAAGTTACAACACATGGCGTTGTAAACGTAATAACAACCGTGTGCATGAAACTTCATTTCGCGTAGTTCTTACGTCCGTACGTCACATCTTGCTGTCCACGATGGAATGTGATGCAAATTGTGCTGCTTTCCACTTTCATGACTGAGCGTAACCATTACAGAATGCATACATAAAACATTTCGAGTGATCTTATCAAGTGCGCGGTGTGTACAAATGTACACGCTTGGCGCGCGAGAGGGAAGACCAAAAGCAACCATCGTTCTTAATTGGCACCGAAACCTAAACCATTGCCTTGCGACGACCGTAAAACATCGTTTCTAAAGCCTTCCGCGATTACTGCGCAATATGTCTAATTATTATAATTATCGCTATATTGTATACTAACATCCACTGTAGTCTTAATTGGCGAAAATAAAAATGTTTCTTTTTTTTGGATCAGAATCACTTGTGAATGGAAATTTCCCTAAATCGAAGATTCTCTGTTCGATTTGACTTTGTATTGATTATTTTGCGTTTGCTCAAATTCGGGTGCGTATTTTCGTTCAGTTGTTCAAAAAGGCGACGTTATTAAACAATCCCCGATTTCATACGGCTATATTTAATTTTCATCCGTTTAAATTTCAACCATTAATTCACAGCCCTCATTCTTTTATAAGCCTTAGTGGTGTTACTTGATTATTTACTCATTTAGTAACTAATTGTATAGATAATGTTTAAGGTAATGCAGATAATTAAAACACAAAAGAAATACAAAAGTGAAATAATTTTCACAGAAGTTTTAATTAAAAAAAAGTTTAATAATCAGACTAACCGCTCAAAAATACAACTCCGTGTGTTTTTGAGCGGTAAAAATAATAAAGCCCATGTAGCTAATTTTCTAAATACATTGTTCAGTATTGTACCACAACGTTATGAAATTTTTTTCTTAATACGCGGATGAGTTTTTAGGCTATTATTAAGATTTAATTATCATCTCTTGTGTAACTTTATATTGAATGCGTGTGTAGAGTGGAAAGGAAATGCATGTTTTTATCTATATATCTTCAGTTTCGCCATATTATGTGTAATAGATTGTAGTTCTACTTACGAGTAAATTAAATAACTTTGTTCTCTTACTAACAGTTCTACGAACAATACTAAATGCTCAATGAGTAAATAAACTTTTATTAATTGCAAAGTCTTAAATATTAATCCTTACTAATATTATAAAGGCGAATGTGTGTATGTATCTCTTTCACGCAAATACTACTTAATGGATTTTTATAAAACTTTACAATAATATATAAAACATCAGAATAAGACTAGACTATAATTTATATACATAATATATTATTATATTTCATAATATATTATATATTATTATATTATATACATAATTTATATATATCTTTATGTCTGAATGTTACGCCTTTAGCATATTCTATGCAGACGTAGTCGCGGGTGGCAGCTAGTAGATTATTAATTAACAGATTATAAGATTCGTCAATCAATCGATAATTGTGTTCGTATCATTCGAAGTCTTCGACGTACTCTGTTATATGTTATATTCACGGACTTATAATAAGCACGCTACTTAAACCTTTTTATTTAAATTTACGTCTTTTTAGAAACTTTTGGTAATTAAAAATACAAATTTCTCTATTAAACCTTTTCCGGTAGGGTGAAAAGAAAGTACAATACTTTCTTGAAGTTGATTGCAGCGAGACGAATCTCATCGTGTCTCAGATCTGATGGAAATTGTCCGCCACATTTGAAATTTTCACTCATAACTTTAATTTATTTAAAGTTATCGCGTTTCAACACCATAAAACTTACTAGCGTAACACGTATAAGCGGTGCAACGGAAATGTGAATCTATCTACGTCACATCCTTTATCGTAAAATAAACTACGGCTTCATAAAACTTTAATTGTATAAACTAAAAAGTAGGTAACCATTCAGTGTTTTATTGTTGGCTAATTACACATTGTAAAATTGAATGTAATTACATGTTGTTTTATTCATAATTTTCTTAAATTTCTGAATTTTGACAATCAATAAGTGTAATGCTTCTGATATTGAATAAATATATTGGAAATTGAATTACACAATGATCTCTAAAATGTTATGCTTAAATCACACTAAAGGTTTTAAGGAGTTTCAAGTTCATGAGAAGATGACAAAGGATGAATGAATGAATGTGTGAATATTTTTTGCATAAAATAAATGCATTTTTTTCTGTTTCCCTCCAGCGTCTCGCGCTAAAATCAATTATTTGTTTACCTCGTCCATTTACCACAGGAAAAATTGTTACATAGAAAAAATTGAGTTATAGTTTTAAATTTTTTTAACAACATTGTGTCAATATTAACATTTTACATGTGTGTAAACTCGCACTCGTACTCGTAATGGAAAAAGATTATAAATCGCACAATGGGGGCGACCATTAAATTAATTGGCAGAAAGTCTATATTGGCTCCCGGCGTTGCGTTTAATTAAACCGTTCTACAATACATCGCATTTTTTGTGCCCCTTTGTTCAATTCCACATCTTGAATTATTATTTATATTTCACCATGGGTGCTGTTAAAAAATAAAGTTATCTCTAACAATAGATGAACAAAAATATCAATGTGAAATAAGGGCAGATAACAGAATAACTAAATATATAAGAATTTTGGGCACACACTATTCGTATTCTTCAGTGGATAGACATATTTAAACTCAAAGTACTATTTATATTTCACTTAAATTATTTATTAAATTAATTCTATTTGATTTAGTATATATCTTACGATTTTCTTCTACCACGTCTTCTTGCATTTATTATTTTGGGCTAAAAACTACATTTTCTAATCTATGTTTAATAAGCTAAATTTGAGAAACTTATTATAACTTGTACGTCTATAAAATTTGGTTATTTTGAGAAAATTCTGAGCGACCCTAAAAAATTCTTTGGTTTTTAAAACATAAAAAAACTAACATTTTCGCATGAGACAATGAAAATTTTCTGGTCTTTTTCTTGCGCACATACATTTTTATGCTAAACGGACATAATAACGCCATTTTTAGATAGAGCCTTCAATTCAATAAATTAATAATTATTGTTGTCACGCTATCACAATGCAATAGACAACTGATAATTGAAACTAACTTACAAAGGCCTACACTCATCGGCGCATGAAACAAGTATCGTTCCACATAACGTGTCCGTTTCAGCTAAAACATCCGACATAATAGCCGCGGCGTCTTGCACATACTCATTTTACTTCTGCCGCTTTTTTAAATGTTTTCCGACGTACTTTCTCTGCTCTCGACGCAATACCGATTATAATTAGCTGGACTTAGATAATTAACGGCTCACATTGACCATGTCTTCTAGTACGCAATTCGAAACGTGTTAACTGTTAAACAGGGTAACGGGTGTGGTCGTATTGAATTTTCTTAACTTGTCATTATTCAATTATTATTTTCAACGTAATTGACATATTACCGAGATTTTAATAATCTTATAGACACAAGATAATCGGTAAATAGAATACGATAATAATCGGAAAATTTTAGAGTGGCATGTTCATGAATTGGCAGGTCCGTTCGGGTAAGTATCAAGATCTCACAGAAGACCGGCATGGAGTTGAAGTGTTATTATACTTCTGCGTTTCATCTGGTGAGTCAGGTAGTCGAGGCCAACTTTATTAAAAGTTGGAAACGCATATGCAACCCTACGGGTGCAGCAAATGTCCATGGCGGCGGTTATCGCTTAACATCAGGTGAACTAGCTTGATTGCCACTTTTTGTAAAAAGTAATGTAAAAATATACTACACAGAAATACGCGTATACTTTTTTTGTTCGTTGTCCAAATGTGACAGTCTCTTTCATCACAGTATATAGATCGTGTTGATATTTATCTGCATGCGAACATAGTATACGAAACGTATCATAGTGGCGTATCGTTCCGGTGGGCGCATTGATTGACGCAGCAGTTTTCCCGCGATTTCCCTCGCAGCTCGCGTCCGTCACGGGCGCACCACTCGCAGTACGCGCGGCCGATCCGGCGCGAGCATTTCTCGGTTCAGTGAAAAAAAAATAATGCATTTTGACATAAAAAAATATCGACAAGTGTAAACGCGTTGAAATTTTTGAATTGATGTTCCGAGTGAAGGCAGTGTTATTGTGATGTGTGTTTGGTTATTGATCTGATTAATATGTCTCCGGATATAATGTTTTTGACGAACGACAATTTGCATCGCTCGCGCAAGGAACCGTCAGTATTGGGACTGCGTTATCGGGTATCAAAGTTTTAATAAAAATGTGATTTTTATAAACTCATTATTAATCAAATATAGAATTTTTACATTTAAATCGAGAGTATAAAACTTAAATATTTTGTACGTCCTAAATGTATTGTTGCCAACCATGCTTTATGCGTACCCTACTTTATTTTTGGCAAACACGTTATATACTTTTGCATAAAAATAAAGTATGTGTAAATACCCTATTTAGGACAGTTTTTTATTATCCTTAAATACTCTTTCATTATCCTTGTATACTCTTTAGGGACACAGAAAATAGTGTTCAAGAGAAGAAATAAATAATAAATATATAATATTAAAAAAAAAAACTTTTTTCTTTTCTTCTAAATACTTTATTTTTCCCTACTTGAAAAATGTGATACGTTATTTTTCTCAAAAACAGGAAACCCTAGCTAGTTTGGTTAGGTTCGTTAGCTGTATATATTTATATATCATGGAGCCGGGTGGGCCGAGTCATTTGGGCCTGGGTCGTGTGATTGGAAAAAATAAATAAATTAAAGATTATTAGAAGAATTTCTAGATTTGCAATCGATTACAGAAATTGATAATAGTCTCCGCAAAAAAGATTGTTAGTTAAATAAGGTATATTTTTTTCTGTTACTTACATATTTACATTAGTATGGCTCACCTAATTAATAATGATAACCTAATTACTTTTACACTTGAGGAAAAATCTGATATGAGCAATTCTTGATATAACATCGATTTTTAAAGTACAGCTATTCAAAAAGCTACTGTTAAAACAAAAAGTTTAAAAATGAGGTTGTAAAACATTACATTAATGACCGAGTACAGAAAACAAAAAAAAAAAACAATTTAACAATAAATAGATTAGTTAGTTCCTTACATACGTTCACTATCACTGTGAAATTGCAATTCGAACCGGGTTGCCTTTCGAATACGTGTTCGGGAAATGATTTCATTTAATTTATATGGGAAATATAATCTCGTGTACATTTCTAAAGTGTTTTAGAATTGACGTTAGCTATGCGCTGAAAATCCGCGAACGATAATTGGATATTTGCATGCGACGTTCTCCGTTTCTTAATAAAAAAACGCGGAAAGAATAGAACGCTTGGAATATATTTATGTTGCATGTTGCGTTCAGTACTATCGTTATTAATCAATTTAAAATTGCAAATTGCATTTTTTTCATCGCTCTATTGATCGTTAGTATTATAATGAATTTAACCTTTTTGAATATTTCCTGCAATACAGGGAGGCTTTTCTAGGTGTATCCATTTTTTTTTTATTCTATTAATTTGAATCATTCATTTGAATTTATCTCAAAAGTGAGTGATTTATGGGCAATTCATTTATTTTACGCGTGATCATTCATAACTAACACGCACACAAGTTTGTTTCAAAAGTATACGACGCATTTATGAATGACTACCGCATTGTCAACAAGTTCTGCGTTTTAGGGAATGGAATGGCAATTTTTTTGAAAAAAAAAAAAAGTTTGTTTTTATTTCAATAAACGAAATATACTACAGAGTCCGAACCTCCTTTGTGAATTTGGACACCTTTAGAAAAGCCATCCTGTATAAGTGGTATAGAATAAAAATGTAAATGATTTCTGACGAGTTCATTAGTGAAAGAGAACACCGATATCCCTTATCGTGTTTCACGTATAGTACAAAAATACTATTTTCAATTTATATTTTAAAATATATATAGTTTACCGATCTGTTGTCGTCATGGTCATGTGTGTGTTGAACAATATACCTTATACCACTAAAATATACCCTTATAATCCCGACCCTAATTTATATGAATGTATTGAAAACTTGATAGATGATAGATTGGATATTAGGGGATTAAAATAGATTGTAAGATCCGGAGAGTAGTGGTCTACTCTACTGTCCAATATTTCATATTTCAGCATTTACGTCATGAAGAAGGCCCGCTTTTGGCCCATTTTTGTTTTACGCAATTAAAAAAATTAAAAATTAAAAAAAAGGTTTACAGTTGTTTCTTTTGAAACAAACTCTTTAGTCGGTAGGATGTCTGGATCTGTACCAAGACGTTCTCTGAATTTCATACAAACTGTGAAACACGAATTTCCTTCTGGTCTTCACTCAAATGTCTGAACAAATTGGCACTCACTGGTCCCATTTGCAGGCATCGCTCAAAATAATTTGTACGAGATGTTTTTGTTAGTGGGAAAACTCGAGACGTCCATCGCTTATTTATTAGAACCGCTTCACCCACTTTTCGTAAGATTTCGCCTGTTTCTTCCTGCTTTTAATTTATTTTTCTATACACATACATGTAATAAACATCAACGCCATACTGATTATTATACTAATTAAGTTCGCATTTGCATCACGACCATTCTTTAATTCGAGCATTAGGAATGTGTTCTTTGGTACAGACTATGAATGAATCAAACTATTAAATGCGTTACTTCAAACGGAGTAGCGTTGCGGGTATAAATTCCAATTATTGTACTTTTTGATTACACCTCGACTAAGGATACAAGTTTTGAGTTAAATTTTATGTTTTTCTATGTTCTATTTGGTCGTAAATAACTAAATATTTTATCTGTAATTAAGTATGCTTACTGTTTTAAAAATATGTGTAAAACCATAATTTTACATCACCTAACCCATTTATTATCTTTTTCGATAATTTTTTTCATGCCTATAGTATTATATAAGAACTAAAGACCTATCTTAATAACTATTCAAATTTTAATATTTGAACACATACTATTATTATAAATCACATGAATCTCACTTACCTATCACCATTTTTATCACATTTGTTTTCTTTTTCACAAAAATAACTATAAGTTTATTTGCATATAAATCAAGTGAAAAGCGTACTGTGTCCTACATTACTAGTCGTCCATTATTACTAATAGCTCACTTCTTAATTAACACCGAAATACAAATATCAACTAACATACTAACAGCCGGTTCTGCACACGATTTAATGAGCTAGCTAGACCATTCATCGGGATGTACGAGAGCATTGAAGATCGATGTTAATTGAAAGCATTCGTACGTTAGTCTTTTGTCTGGTTTTGTCAGTAAACGTAGATCTGAGTAAACCTGCCTTAACCCTCCAGTTACTCACTTGATTTCGCTTAGAACTTTGACATCGCATTCATGGGCGGTTATCTCTTTCCATCAAGTCGCTATATTCTATATGCCCAATATTCTTTAAAAAATAACCTAAAAACTTTAAAGATACTGCGGCTTTAATTCCACAGGATAATTGTTGTAAAGAGAAGGCTATCTTAATAGAAATAAAGACAGTGATTTAGGAAATTATGCCTCTGGTGATTCCTATTAAAATGGTTGTCTGTACATCTAGACGGTCGCATTGCAGGGTTTGTCTAACGGCGTGGAGAACGACCAGAACACCGCCAACCAGCTGCATCCCAACGAGCTGACGCACACCCGGCTCTCGATCAGCTCCACCGCGTCCAACCAGAGCTACGACTCGGGCAACGTCGACTACGCGGTGCCGAAGCACGCGTACAATCAGCGGGTGCCGTACAAACAGAACGATGAGACAGAGAGGACCAATCAGACAGAGAGAACCAATCAGACAGAGAGGACCAATCAGACAAAGATAGCGAATCCGCTGTTCGGCGTGAACGCCGCCTCCCACTACGCCCCCAGCCCCGTCGTCCAAGAGGCGAGGGTGAACGAGAAACCGGACAGGCCCAACTTGCCGAACGGCGTACGAAAGGCCCCCGAGGGCCAGGACAACGATGCGTTCAAAAGCGAGGACGCGCTTGACGGTAGGAAAGAGGTCGTAGTGAGCCCCGGTCAGATCGCGCTAACAGATGGCAGCACCGCGACCTACACTACAGACAATAATGGTAAAATCAATGTTCATGTCACCGTCATGATTAACGCAGGTAATTATATGCATCCTTAAGAATATGTCCGTTTCGATTTACGCACACGATGCGCGGCGGTATTGTGAATTCTAATGGTTTAGTTGTTTTAGTATTTAATGTTATGGATTGTTTTACGTTTCCCAATACAATTGTATATTTTAATTATTAAAAAAAAGTATGTAAATTATATGTAAATCATATCATTAAAACATTAAAAATGAACTCTATTTCAGTGATATCTTAAAGCACTTTTATATGACAATACATAACATTAATTACTTGAATTATTATACCTAGTGACGCAACAATATTACCGCGCATACTTTATAAAATCATGGCACATTATTAACAAATGATTGGTACAGATTGTCTAACAGTTTCGCACAGTGAGGGTAAATAAGTTTAAAAATTGAACGGTCGGAGGTGGGGATCGTGAAGTATATCACGAGGATGCATATTGAGGCAAGCAGTTTAGTTGTTAGTGCATGACGATTTCGTTTTCCTTTTGTAGAAACGTTATTTTTTGGCCTCATTTAGTCTGTGTAGTTTTTAGTGGTATCTTCTATGCACTTTCTGATTTGTGTGCGTGTTTCTGTAGTCCAACTTAGTTCTTTCTTTTCCATCTCTGAAACGTAGCTTAAATGTAGTATGGCTGTTATTTCTAATGTTCTAATTTCGTGTGTGCTATTTATTTGTTTTAATTTTGTAATTGTGTATTTTTCATTATAATGATATAATTGAGCATAGATTTTTTTAATGTTATAAATCTATTATTTATACAAAATATCTAGTATGCAAAAAAATTCTTTCATCGAAATTATTTAATAACTTAGTAAGCTTATTTTATCAACGTGTAACATTTGAAGGCGTGATCAAGGATATCAAATTCAATAACAATGAAAGCTAAATAAAAGAAAAAAAAATGTAAACGAATGTTGCCTTGGTCGCGTCTAACATTTACGCGGCCTACTGTAGCTGTCGATACCACGTTCCAGGCACGCTGGCCGACTTGAAGAAGCAGCGGGCGCAGATTAGGACCAACGGCAGCCCGGTGGAGAACAGCGTCAGCTCGACGAACAACCACAGCCTGAGCTCCTTGCCCGAGGGTCTGAAGCACGAAGCGCCCGCGCCCAGCAAAGCGCACCCCCAGCCCAACTCCACAGTGCCGAGGTTCACCGGCAACACCAGCGAAGTGGTCGGCGACACCAAGTCCCACCGCTGCTGCGTCATAATGTAATCCGGCCAACGGTCGCCCCGCGTCTAGGTGTCGTGAGTCTGTCATTCCAAAAAGTGCTCATTGATAGACCTGTTAAGGTCGACAATCGCACGCCGTTCCGAACAGTCAACACCAGTGAGGTGGTCGGCGATACCAAGTCCGCCGCTGCTGCGTATAATGTAATCTTACCAACGGCTTCCCCTCGTCAAGATGTGAGTTTTATTGTCATTCGAAAAAGTGCTTATTGTGTGGTCCTATTAAGGTCGACAATCGCATGCCGTTTCGAAAGTCAACTCAAGCGAAGTGGTCGGCGACGCCAATACCCACCGCTGCTGCGTCATAACGTTATCTGACCGAAGCCCTCCCCGCGTCTGGGTGTCGTGAGTCTGTCATTCCAAAAAGTGCTTATTGCTAGACCTGTTAAGGTCGACAATCGCACGCCGTTCCGAACAGTCAACACCAGTGAAATGGCCGGCGATACCAAGTCCCGCCGCTGCTGCCTCATATTATAATATGCCAACGGCCTCGCCTCGGTGTGTTGAGTCCAAAACGTCATTCCAAAAAGTGTTCTACTAGCGGAGGCTTAAAGTCGGAAATCGCTTGCCGATACCGCTGTGATTACGCGACGTTACATACATTTGCGGCGCTGACTGTCATTCCAAAAAGTTTTTATTAGATGGACTCTTAAGGTCGACAATCGCTTGACGAGTTGATTTCCGCAAGTGTTGCCATTTTATTTCGCCGGCTTGCCGTTAGTTCAACAGTGTGATAGGGACGTATGAGCTCAACAGTCGTATCGGTTTAGAGGTAAGAGATTTAATATGGTCGCTATTGTATTTAGTTCGCGATGTTATGTAGTGCTTAGTTGTATCGTCTATTGTATTATATATTGTTGAATTTCCTTTCGCGCCTTACCATTTTCCTATTAGAACATTCCATTATTTTTACTAAATATTTATGTTAGATATAATGTACCATTTACTGCATTGATGTTTTTTTCATATTTAAATTATATTGTTGTATTTGATAATGATATTAAATTTATATATGTACATAATTGATCCAGCTTAAAACTTAGCTATTATTTTTAATAAGATGAAACTGGTGATTTTAGACATAAAATGCACAAATATATTTATTTTGTGCTTCAAATGTTTTGAATAACTACCCATTCCCAAGACGACAAATTTTTGTAAAGTTTCTTCGTTTTAATAACAGTGTTTGAACGAAATTAATGACTTATTTCGATATTTTTAAAGTCGTCGATTATCTAAAAAATATAAGTAGAAATAAATAATTTATGATATCTTATATTGACTCGAAGATGACACTTGAATTTAAAATAATCATAGTACACTTTTGATTTTAGAGCGCTTAATCATAGTATATAAAAAAAATATTATTCAAAGTAATAGAACAAAACTTAATCAGTCTTTGAATCTAACAGAATTTGAATGACTTGTGCTGCATTATTTAAAAACAAACTAAATTAATATCACAGGAAAGTAGCTAGTACTTACCGTCATATTATCTGTATGCCTAAAGATCAAGACTTGATAGTTTTTCTTAGAAGTTAGGTAGAACTCAAAATCGGTTGTTTTTAAAAATATCGAATAAATCCAATATCACCCTTATACATCTAGGTGCTATATTTTCAGCCTATGACATCTGGGGTCCAAATGCATTCTCTATCGCACATTTATTCTAAGAACTATATCACATATCGTTTTGAATTGTCAACTATGTCTTAGGGTTCAAAATATTTCACTTTTTTTTTCATTATCCATGATTAGATAGCTTGGCAAAGGCTTCGTTTTAACCCTATTTCCTCCTGTCTCTCGGTTGCAACCTTTATAATTGGATAAAAAAAAACAACATTCAAGCTAATTTTATTAAATTCGTTTAATAATTTCATCGTTTTATAGGCACACTAAGATTCCAATATCGAGGCAAAATTGCAAGTTTATCGCCAGTTTTAAAAATAGATTTTGCATAATGGAAATATTTTTATAAATATTTAAACTAGATGTGAAATAATTATTAATTTGTAGTCATACTCATTTCAGCAAAAAACTCATTAAACAATAATTTTTTAGGTGAATTGAAATTATTGTTCTTTAAAATACTTTTTTTAAACGAGCAAAGATTTTAAACCATCATCTTTAAAGAAGAAAAAATCCGCTGTGGTAGAGAGAGAGAGAGAGAGAGAGAGAGATTTACGGCAGTACGCTTGAATAAAAAAAAAAAAGTTTCTGACGATAAAATTTCAGACGGTTAATAAACTGTGTATAATGGATTGATTACTTCGTGCTTCATTGCTGCTGAAAGTAATTCAAATTGATGCTAATAACACAAAGTACCATTAACATATACGAACGCTGACTGTACTTTCTAGACACTTTTAATATCAGCTTTGATTGATTGCGGTAATGTATCCAAACATAAAACAAGAAAAATTAAATTATCCCGCTAAGATCGTCGGTATCCATTAAAAAAAAGTGCTTTTTAATTGAAATTTTGGGTTTTTTGTTACTAATAATTTAAAATACCATATCTATCATTACTTTTGTTTAAAAATGTGAATACTTTGAAAAACTGGTGACAGCGATATTTTTAACAATTTGGTTGCATAGCGAATGGTTATAATATTATAGCCATAGAAGGACACTTTGTAATTTCGTAAATATTTTGATATAATAACACGAGCTAAAATATTTTCTTCATAAATTATTCAGAAACATACTCTTATCTATTAAGCATTGGTATATCCTACAGTATATTATATACATAAATAAAGTGGAATATACATATTGAACTATAAGAAAATTTAAAATTACTATAAACATGATTTTTTTGACGTTAGTATAAACTACAGTACGTATTTTCAACTTTCAGACTCAAATACTCTGGTGCCGCTGATTTCGAAATATGTGTTTAGACCATTTAGTTACTTTTATTGCGCAAAAGTACTTGGATCACATAGGTATATAAATTTGCCAAATCCTAAGTATCATCTACTGAATTTTGTGCCAACATTAATATTTAATAAATGATTTAAAGTTTGTTTGTTGAATTTTTTATAATATATTTATCAAATTATGAATTGAAGCTGGTTTAACATTGTATCCAAAAAGAAATCTGTGTTCATCGTCTGTGGTATATTTCTTAGACTAGATAATGACAGATTATCATTCCGTTTTATTATGGTGTAAAAAAGATACGTTTATGTATATAAGCCTTTAAAAAATATGTAAATCTTGTAAGCTTCATTAGGACTCGTACAGACCGCACAAAACTTAAACGCGCCTCTTAATTTCGTCATAGCGATATCTATCAGTCTCCTGCCGTACTACGGTGAAAGGTATCGTCCTCTCGTTTCCGCCTCATATCAAATCGCTTTCTATCTTACTCTCACGCTGCTGTACACTTCTGAACAACGTTATATCCGGTTTCGTGCGCGCACAATTTTTTTTATATTACAATTTTTTTAAGCGATTTTGCAATCGACAGTACATTTATAGAATTAGTGGAACCAATATGCAACGGTACGTTTAAGTTTTGCGCGTGTTATACTGTAGTAATTCATTCGTCCATATCATAGTCACTAGTTTTAGTCTCGGTAAAACATCTTAATTCTCAGTACTTATAAAGTACTTACCACACGTGCATTATTATCTTTAAAAAATTATCAATATCGTGTAAATTAAAAGTAAACGTATAACCACACGTTAAGCAATATGCAATGGCCTTACTGAACGTTATAAAGCACAATTTTTATTGATTTATCTATATCATACAGTATTATTTTGTGACAACTTTTACTGACAGCGTTTTGTGATAATATTATTGTATTGGATCTTATTTCGAGATTTTTGTCTGGTTGTTAAACATTGCAGTGAAGTAAGTATTGTAAAAGTATATTTGCTGTTCTTTTTATTGATTTATAATTTTAACCTAATGTCAACTGTATTTTCGAAATGTTCATTACCTGTGTATATTCATGTCGAAATAAATAAATGGAAAAAATGTTATTTGTAATCCAAATAAGTGAAGATGTGAAAAGACTGATATGTCGAGTAATGGAAGATGTTTCTAGATTTAAAAATTATTCATACACAAAATAACGGGCCTCGTATCAGTCTTGCCTATAAAATAATATCCTATTATTTTATATTTGTTAATTTTATAAAATTATTTGTCTACATATTGAGAGTATATTACGCGAACACTTTCACAAAACTAAAGGCAGCTTATTATTTCTGCGAGTATATTTTTGTAAACACGCAAAATGTTTTTAATTGAGTTTACGCACATTAAGTGTTTCAACTTCAAGAACGCCAATTTTCGTATTTCAAATTAAATAAATAACGATCTTATCGCGTATTTTTTTTTCCAATTCTTTAATTGAACTATAAGAAGATGGTCTCAGTTTACGTTTAATTGGACCGATATAAACTGTTTCGTGTTCTTTGTAAGCGATGAAAGACTGTTGCTCGTGGTGTAAACTTCTTTTAACATGCACTGATGCTCTTCTTTCAAATTGGTAGAGTCACGAGTGTATTTGATACTCGTCAATGTTTATTTCTCTGTTTTATCGGTTTTATTAAATGTAAATTAAAAGGATTATGCATATACAAGTTTATGTGAGTAAGCTTTCTTAGAAAATTTATGTAAACTCTTTATTAGAGAACATTTTGTATCATGCTCCACCGCACCGAACCTTATCGCTTCATTGTAATATGTTTTTCTTAAATACACTGTACGTTCCATTATCGTCCAATAATATTGTTGTATTAAATACATTTTTTAAATTATAACAATTAATATCATTGTCAAAATTATTCCTATTGCATTGTTTGTAATTTTGGGTATTAACAAACGTGTTATATTTATAAATAAATGTTTGTTATGTATTAAAGAGTCCTAAATGATTCAATACAAAAAAGCAGTAACCTTGCCATCTTGTGTCTTGCCTTATCTTGGACCAAGCAATCCACGTGTGGTCAACAAAAATGTTAAACACGTCTACTGCATTATACGTAATTATACCTTATTGAAGTAAGACTGTATATTTTGTATATGTGATTTATCGTAAATTGGAAAAAAAAAGTAAAAGGTATTAAGAAAACAACAGTATTTTAATTGGATTTAAGGGAATATTCATTCAAAATATAAATACGAGAGAAAATGGATGAAATCAGTCAGCCACCCTAAACACATCTGAATATAAGCATTTTAGATTATTTTGTAAATGTGCGCTAGTAGACCTTTGTATATTTATAATTTGTAAAAATATATCAATAGCCTATTTGATTATTATTATCGTAGCAAATTATACAAACACCCAATTCGAACTTATATTCCCGTCATATTTAACAGAAGAGGTTGTTACATATGACGTATCCTCCCAAGGATAGGGCATTTCGGTCATAAAATCTATTCAGGTTACGACATTATGTATCCAGTTTTATTGTAGATATAATAAATGTAAGGTGTACGCTATTGTCATTGGATGATTTATCCTGTGGTTTAATATAATTATTATCTGTGACATTCTTCAGGGAAACTATTAGAACAGTTAAATCGTATTAGTCGCATTTGTATACAAATTTTCACTACGTGACACTACTGCTTAAATGTCAAATTCGTTGTGTGGTACAAATCATATTATTTAAACTAAAACATCGGCTTTTTGTTTTTAACAATGCAAATATGTCTGTTGTATAGCGCGCTTTAATTTATTGTAATTTATGTGTAGCTTATTGTTAAAAAAATGTCATTAAAGAGATATTTGCTTTTAAGCAGTAATGTTTTTATGCCTATTTAGTTGAAAAAACTTAATATTCAAAAACTTAAAAATAAATCATTTGTTTACATCCACTGATCTTTTTATTTTGGATTTATAATAATTCAAATTTATTTCTATGTTTTCAATGCGTTCAAAATAAGAACTATGAAATGTAAACAACAAGAAAGACTTTCCACTTATTAGTTTTTGCAATAAAATATATATTGGTGAGCAGTGGAAATCACTGATACGTAAAAAAATCGACGTAACGATATAAATTTTACTAGTGTAACACCGTGACAGATGTAAAGACTGCTTTACTTAATAATTTACTGACTTCCTTTTTAGTTTTTAGGGTTCCGTACCCAAAGGGTAAAAGGGGGTATTACTAAGACTCCGCCGTCTGTCACTAGGCTCTAATGAACCGTGATAGTTACAGTTGAAATTATCACAGATGATGTATTTTTGTTGCTGGATAACAACAAATAATAAAAAACAAAAAATAAAGTCGAGCTCCCATACTATAGACATAATTTTTTTGCAGTTTTTATAATGGTACGGAACCCTTCGTGCGCGAGTTCGACTCGCACTTGGCCGGTTTTTGTTAAAATTGACCTATTTGTTTTTGATGGAAGTTAGTTCCATTTCCTTTGCTAACAGACATTCTAATGGATTCCTAATTTATCTTGATGAATTCATCAGCTTCTATTAAAAAAAGGCTACTTTCTAAAGGTTATCTCCGGCATTTTATAAAATCTGGGCAGTTTTTGAGTTTAACTCAGAGAATTTAAAAAGGCACTCGGTATAATAACAATATATTTGGCCAAAACACTATAGCTTTATACGGTCCTTCTGACAGTAATTACATTATTAAATAATGACAAAGAAAGATGACCAAATAAAAAAATGTGCCATCTTTACGGACTAAAGCACCTATCTTTGAGACTGTAGTCTTTGCCACTGCTGGAAGGACTGCTTACAGATGCCAAGTTGTATTTTTTTTTTCATACATTAAAACATCGACAGTTCACGAGTAAAATTATGAAATCGTTGATGATATTACGCCAGGGAAAAAATAGGATTCACATTAAACGAATAATAAACTTTATCTAACTTTTATTAACTATTAATATGTATTCGATGTTTTTCCGAAGATGTTTTTAATATGAATAAACCTTACGTTCACTTGACTTTATTTGTTATACGTTATTCAATGCTAAACCTTAAGCTAAATTTGGTGGACCTGGAATGACTATAATTGGCGTGTCTACCAGTAAACCCTTGTCATGGTGAATAGTAGATGGTTATTTTACATAGTATTCCAGTTCTTACAAAAAGGCGTCCGAAATATTTTAAACTACCTTAGAAAGGCTGCAAATTATGAAGATCAAGACACCTACTTAAATTCATACAATAAGTAATCACTCCCCGACTATTTGATGAAATGAATATAATTATGTAAGTATTACACAATCTAGGTACCGCAACGGTAAAAAATCGATTCCTCCAATGTCATGCTCTTTGTTTGTTGTTGAATACGCTGTACTTGGTTATTGAAACCGTAACTAGAGAGTTGTTATATGTGTCTACGGACCTATGAATAGAAGTTATCCGCATACAGGAATGAATGCCGTTATTCACTCACAATTCAAATCTCGGCATTGCCAGTAGTTATTGCTACTTCTTTCCATGACATGGCAGTAATGAACTATCAGGTCTGGCCCTGGCTATCAGTCAGTGCTCGCCGGCCCGCGTAGCTGAGAAGACGTGTCGCGACCTCACCGTAGAAGCGCGTTTAAATTACGTGTTACGCACAAGAGCCAACAGCAAATTAGTCCAATTTAACTTTGATCAATTTTGAGGTCTGTGCATGTTAAAATTTATAAGAACTTTTTGTACAATGAAACCGCCAACAAACGTAAGTATGACTTTGTACTTAATTAACTTTTGTGTTGCCGTCTACTAAACTTTTACGTTTTAATAAATTGTTCTTTTTAATTAGTTTTTTGAAAATTAAGTTATGTTTTTATACGCTTTGATTCAACATTTTTACTCGAGGAATTGAATTTTTACACTAAAGTAGGCTATTGTTTTTTTAATGACAAATGATGCGTTTGGCGAAAGAAAATTTATTTCAAATAATAAAATAACACAAATTATAAATACGAAACAGTTTCAAAGTATTTAAATCATGACGAAAGAATGAAACGTTAATATTTTCTACTAGAAAATGTCTGGATTTCAGGGAATTAGACTCTCACTGCGTTTAGATTTGACGATTTCCCTTGCCTTATGTAGCAACATAGTTTATATACGAGAGTGTACTTTGTAGATTTGATGATTTCTTTAACTAATGTCGCATCATAGTTCATGTGCAGCAAAGTTCTTTTTCTGTTGTATTTTTTAATCGGCAAATAATGACCCTATTTTTTTTTCTTTATATAGCGGTAGATTCAGTTCGATTACAATCGCTAATGAGCATGAGCTGCTGTCAGCCACATCTCTATAAACTATATTTTGATTTTTGAGATAATTTTTATGTCGGTTTTTGAACTTTTTAAAATTTAAACGCTAAACTTACGTTAGCAGGAGGTATAATTGATTTATTATTTTTTTTTAATTTCTAACAATTTAAAACTGTGTAAGACGTAATTAAAAACTTGTCGGCGAAAGCTAAAAATAAATCTATATTATTAAAATCTACCCACAAAAACAGAAGATCGATATGTACTTGGAATTTTTAAAAATGTTAAAGAGAATAGTACCTTGTGGTTCTTTATCGCGACACTGGGGTACCTGAGATAGTGATTTCAAATCCCAGTCCCCAGTGGTGTGCACAGAGATTTCAGAGGTTTTCGCTAAAAAGTTTCAATTTCTCGTAAGTGATTTACGATAACATAACAGGTCACCTAAATGATATCCAAAGTGGCCTGTGAGGTGTTGAGTTGGTTTTCTTTAACTCAAAAAGAATGAACCCTACTGTACTTGTGGGTTTCAGTGCTTTGGGGCATATTTATATGAGGTGACGGGTTATGCAGAGCTTTTTAGCATGTATGAAGTGCACGCGCATTCCAATCCCGATCGCACCAACGTGTTTTCCGAAACTTTAAATATCAACATTTTAAATACCTCTTTTTTTAATTCCTCAAAAGCATGAGGGATTCTACTAGTGATATTACTATTTTTATTTTGTTGTTTCCGGTAACTTTGAAAAGCGTAATTATTGGGATTTAATATCAATTATTGTTAATATTCTTATCGCGTGCTCAGCCGTGAAGTAAAACATCTTGAGGAAACTTGCTTATTTTGAAATAAACACAAAGAAAATGATTCGAATATTTATGTGAAATCCGTCAATTCGCAGTGAGGCCGCGTGGTGGACTATGCCCATAATACCCTGTGTACAGAGGAGGCCTTTGCCAAGATGTGAGACTTATATAGGCTGTTACTTTACTTATACTTTATTCGTTTTACTAAATTAGTACTAATTTAGTAATCATCATCTTAATTATTTCAGCCTGTTTGAGTCTACTGCTGAACATAAAAATGTAGTAATAAAAAATTGTTTTCATTATTTTGTTCATCTTTGTTGTTCATTATTTTAAAATGCATTAAGTTTTATCAATAAAATGGATTCTTGCTGACGGTAGTTTCTGATCAGTAGTGAATGCGGTTAGTATCGTAAAAATAGGATTGTATACAGAAACTAAGAAAATGATGGGCAATAACTCGCCCAAACTGCCTGGTTGCCTAGTAGAGTATGAAAATTGACATTAAGTCCATTATACTCTACACTTCATAGTCCATCCTTTGTAATCCCTATTTAAGATGTTGAGGATAAGAAATAAATGATACTTTCAGTTTACATTTCATCGAAACCTTTTTAATGGTCTTAAAACACCCTTGTAGTGGCGAAGAACATTTTATTTAATGATAATTGTACCGCTTACTCAGCATTAATGTGCTATCCTTAGGCATCGTTACGATAAAATGCACGTCCAATAAATAGGCAATGATGATTTATCACGTGCGAATTTGTCGAAGCACGGTCCCTCCAGTCACTTGCTATGTCCACGTGCTTTGCATAAAACAGCAATTTGTATCATTGTCATCTTAAATTGCAGCCTCGAGGGTCACGATGTACGATAGAAATAGAGTACCGCATAAATAAACTAAATAACAATGTTCAATCTGCTGCGACATGTCCATTGGCGAAATATAAACCTGCAATAAAAGTTTAGACGCAAAAAAATCACATTTTAATAACCATATTTTTACTAAATATCTCGCTCTATATTCATTTTATAATTGATTTTGAGGAGTTCCCTAATTATCTCCGGACAGTGGCGGATTTGCACTAAGGGCCAATAGGCCACATATTAGGGGCGGCCAATTGTGACAAAAATTCACTGATCATAACAAGATATATGACGGACTTTGAGAAATGGGCGCCTGGAACTTACTACATGGGCCGGGGCCAAGGGCGGACAAGACTACTAATCCACCACTATCTCCGGAGCCCAAAATCCAATACCAATGAAATTAAGGTCGGACTACATGGGAAGCACGGGCTTTCAAATAAAAAAAGAATCATCAAAATCGGTTCACTCGGTCGAAAGTTCTGAGGTGACAAGCATAAAAAATACAGTCAAATTGAGAACCTTTTGACGTCGGTTAATAACCAATATTTGATAGAGCTCAGAGTGTAATTAAACTTTTAGTCATAATTTAAACGTTTACCTAATTACACTCGTCTAAACTAATAGTAAACTTATCTGAAAACAGTTATTAAACCTAGATGAAACCTCTGCTTACAATCGACGAATTAAAATGGATAATAAGGTTTTCTTTATTTCTCGACAACCTAACACCGAAGGTAGGATCTTGTGTTGTTGGTATGTCCGTTATAGATAAATTGCAAATAGAGAGCTAGATCTGGAAAGCGGATCTTTAGGTCAAATGAATTTATTGCACTGTTGCGAAGTCGATTGATGCTTGATTATTGAAGAATTGTATTTGTTATTCATTGAAGTCGATGGATACGGGTGGCTGTGGATCGTGCTTCCTGTTAGTCTCTGGGGGAGAGCTATGCTCAGCAGTGCTCCAAAACACACTCGGGGAGTGACCCAATACAATGAAGCTAAAAACCTTGTCGTCTATGTTAACTGACCATCCTGTAATTCAATCATATTTAATATTGCGATCTTACTATACTAACGTTGAAGTTTGCTAGCACTTCTTTACCCTTTATTGATGATGTAGGTATATGGTATAATCGAGATTAATAATATCTCATTTCAATTTACTTTTTTTTAGTAGTAATAAAAGAAGTGGTTTGGTATACACACGCAATTGATTTTTATTTTGCGGACGAAACTTATACTCGTGATCACAAATTTTGGTTAGCGGACAGCAATGGCTCTAGAAATGAACTATATTTAAATATAATTTCTAGTTATAACAACGCAGAAAGCTACAACAAATTATCTTATTTCATATCAGTGTACATGATATCAGTATATCTGAGACACCGTCTATTGCAAGAAATCATTATTCAAGATTTAATTGTAGAAAATTTATGTAAGATTGAAATTAAAATTTAAATGACATCGCAATAATGATAAATACTTTAAAAAAATCAGACACGTGTTATATATATTGCGCGTAAATATCTAGTACTTGACGGATCGAATAATTATTTAATCTGCGAAGGAGGTCCTGCAGATAACATTTACAACTCTGTTACCCTATGACCGCAGTTTTTGAAGGATGATCATTGTTGACAATGACCCCTTGTCCGTTGATAAGGAATGTATTTAGAATCATGAATAGCTTGTTTTGTTTACTTAAGATATTGAGAATGAATTTGTAACTGTCCTATGTTTATAAACTATCTGATCGAACTCTGCTAAGTCATTCACCTTTCTCTACGTAATGTGATGAATAAATAATACGTAATGATATTTCTGTTAGTAGTAATTAATAATTAAATAAGACTTGTTTAAAATCAGACTATATTTGTATACGTTTCCTCATTATCTGTTAGTTTAGGTATGTTTGGTATTGTTATGCCATTGGTCTGATTTACGGTTACTTGAAAACCGATAAATATACATAAGAATGTAATAAAAAATAAACAAGCTGTTAAGAATTTAGAGAAATTAATGCTTATATAAACTATGAAGACATTCGAGACCAGCGCGGACTTTGAAAAGATTACAAAATAAAATTACACATCTTTGTACATGGAACAACCTTATAAAGTTTTCAAGATAAAAGTTATATAAAAATGGTAGTCTACGGTTAAAATAAAAACTATCAACTGCTGTTTATTCTGTCATTTCCGTTTATCCATATTTTCTTTGTATATAAAAAAACCACGACCAGTCAGGCAAAAAACATACCTGACATTTAATTATAATTAACCTTTCGTAGTCACAGGTTTGTGGTTTTCAATTAAGTAACAACTTTCGTTTTTAGGCAACACTTCTGCATCATGTCGACATCCCAACGAAGAAGGCTACGTTCGGCATGGGCTGCTTTTGGTCCAACGACTCTCTTTTCGGCGCCACGCAAGGTGTTGTACGCACTCGCGTCGGCTACTCGGGCGGCACCACCAAAAACCCTCATTACAGGAGCATGTAAGTGTTTGAGCTCGAGCTTCGATGCACAGGCTAGGTTGAAGTTACGGCTAGCTCGAGGTACAGGCTAGCTCGAGGAACAGGCTACACGCCCTTAGCGCGTGGCCACTTCAAGCCCTGTGGATATGTAAAGGCCTCTTCAAGGCCAATAGTGGACGATTCAGTAAAATGCTTGAGCTCTTACGGCATAATAAGCCTTAGATCTTCCCTATTCTGCCCACTCTATTTTAACTGAAACAAATAAATGTGTGATAAAAGTTATTATTTACAGTTTATTCGATTGTGCTTTTTTGGTTTCCCATTTATATCCCTTTATTACTATTATTAATGAGTTTCATGTTATTGAATTGATCTTTATTTATCTAAATTATTACTATTTTTTATTATTAAGCACATCTTGTTGTTAATATTTGTCATCAAAATTATTGCTCAATCATTTTATAAAAAATCAATATAAGCTAGAGACATGAACTAATGCTTTATGAAAAGTGAAAAGCGTTTATGAGATTGTAGAAGCTCATCCTGATAAATAATATGGGTCAAGGAGCGTATGGTGATTCGTTTTTATCTGGTTTCTTTTATTTCCGTTTAATTGATACCTTAAAAGTTAGGTACTTTGCGATATATTTTGTAAAACTGTATGAAGTTTATATAGATATTGTGATTATCATTGACACGTGTCGAGATATAAATGATTCAAATATGTACATTGATGAACTAACTGGGAGATGTTTTTACGCATATAATATGACTTGCAATTCTATTGTCCTTCAATGATTGCAATTATTTTAAAATATTGTGCAACTTGTGATACTGGATTTGTCATAATCATTCATGTTATTAACTCTTCTGCTATTATTACAAAATGTTAAAAATATTACACGATAATTAAAAACAGCTTATGGAATAGGTATAGGTTACTACCTTAAATAGTGTAGTATACTAGATAATTTATTTCGATTTTTTTGCTCACTTAATCTCTTGGATTGCAGATGCGTTGCTAATCTATAAAATAGTGTGCCCCGGTTACCTCAATACCAAGTGAAAAGTTTTATGTCGCCGCACATTCACATTTGCACGGTTGCAGTTGCGTTGACCCCTTTTAATAAGGTGGGCCCTGGCTACCTCACTCAACGAAACGCAGAAGTATAACACTTCCAATACACGCCGGTCTTCTGTCGTCGTGGTTCTTACCCAGACGGACCTGCCATGCCCATTCGTGCAACAGCGAATACTTTTGGCCCTATCAGTTTCTTTTTTTTATTCATTTGTTATACAATTACATTGAGGATAATGTAAATATGTTAGAACATAAAACATACCAATTACATAAAAAATGGATCTTTAGAGGAATTCAAGATTTTTAGCATAATGCGCTACAGTCAACATAAACGGCAAAATTAAAATTCATTTGTCATTTCCGCTAATGAAGAAGGATCACGAAAAAACTAATGTTAGCTCTATGCTCTATGGTACGCATCCGTACGACATTGTACGTTTTCGTGTAAGCCAAGGTTGTCTACGCGCAAGGCCAAGGCGGCGCGTCGCGAACACGCACCGCGCGTCTCTAACAGCTGTCTCGCTATTTTTACGGCGCGATAACGAAAGATTTAATAAGGTCAACATTTATTCTTATTACATACCAGTGGTGATAATCTACACCACTTACGTGTTAAGCGCACGAAGGTGGTTCCGGTTGGTCTCGATAACGGTTACCTACTCGATATCAATTTTGGAAGCGAAAATTATTACTCAATCTGAAAACGGTAGTTTCACCGGCACGGTTTTGTGACAATTACGAATCTAATCAATATTTGAACATGTAATTTGCAGTGGTGACCATACAGAGGTGATCGAGATCGATTACGATCCGAAGACCGTCTCCTACGATGAGCTCCTGGACATGTTTTGGGCGAACCACGAGTATGGACTCACAACGAAGCTGAAGAGACAGGTGAGTTTTTTAATTTTACATGGCATTTTTTTAACTAGCAGCTTTCCAGAATACGATTCATTTCGAATACGGTAACTGCAACTACCTTCTGATATAAATCTCTGATTTATTTAATTTTCCTTAATTGTATGTATGGAAATTAAGATATATTTTAAAATAAGGTTTTATAGCCAATTTAATGTTTTCCATAATATTTTCCTATAGTACATAATTATAATATGCTTTATTTTACTTTTGACAATTATATTAGAATGTATTTAAAGGATGACTGAAGGAAAGTGATGTTTATCTATCTTATGTTGTTCGTATTGAGTCCGCGTGAATGATCTTACCATGACATTCATTGCCTTGACTATGAAGTGAGAGTAGTATAGAGAAACAAGACCTAAAATAGTCGCTGAAAAATTAAATTCAATTGAAACTTAAAACTCAAACATGTTACAATTTTCTTCTGTAACAAAAGATATGTACTCTACGTCTTACTCTATTGTTAGCAGTATAGTTACATACTAATTGGTTTCGCAAAATTTGTAAAACTTTTCATTTGGGTATTAGAAAATTAACAAAAAATTATTGTTGCTTACAAAATGTAGTCATTAGCGTCAGTTATTTGTTGTTCATATGCAGTGCTGAATTTATGTAATAAGTATTAGGTTTAAAAGTTTTATTTTTACTATTCTTTACTTGTTTTATATTCATCATCTCTTCAAAAGGTGTTGGAATTTTGTTTTGATTACAATTTATCTCATTGAATACGAAAATTAGTAGTTAGCGTATATAACAGGTAATGCATTGGAGAGTTTTTATTGATATTTGAATTCTATCGAAGTATGAGTACATTCAGAACACGTAAGAGGCCTAAAGCAATCGTTGCTTTGTTATTTTTATCTTTGGGAGTATGCGCGTGTGAATACACGTGTATCCTAATATTACGCTTATTTTTAAACAGCTATTTGAAGTAGCGGAAAATGTACGAATTTGTTTTGTATGCAAAGACATAAAACTATTTCACATAATCTACAGGATTTTACAATCAACATAAACATTAACAGTCAATGGTTGTAACTGGCGGAAAATGTGAATGAATTTGTTGTTTAACGGAGAAGTAATATGCCAAACACCAACAATTTCTAATTACATCTCGCTGAAAGCGGATCTTCGATCCTAGAGGCATTGTATTGTACACCGACATTTTTTCAATTTAAATTCCTAATTCAATCTATGCAAAAGAAAACATTGATAAACAGTGAGGGTTGCAGCCACTTTCTAGCATAAGTTCTGCTGAGGCAAGCAATTTCAGGCCATTGCGATCTTGATTCCTATCTCGATCTCTATTTCCTATTGCTTGATCTTTGTGTTCCTATTCCTATCTCAATTCCTTTGGTTAAGAAGGAGAACACTGTTATGTTTAGTATATTGAAAATTACTTGTGGCTCGAATCTATAAAAAGGAGCCAAGTGTATGCATTGATTAATAACGGTAACGTTATAACAGTAAAGACTGGAAGGAATATTTTCGTCTATGTGTGAAATGGATGTAATTGGCACAAATTTTTGGTGGATTCTTGTATCTAACAAGTTTTCTTGGCCCTAGTATGTACATGACCTTTCTGTGAAGTTTTTGATATTTTCAATTTTCAAAAAGATTCACCTTTGCTCCAAAAGTGTAAAGGCAAAGTAGCGTTATAAAAAGTAGCGAATGGGTTAATTCAATAAATTCATAATAAGAAAACAAAACTTACATAGCTACTAAACAAAATAGCTATTATATTTATTATCTATATTTCAAAATTGATACGGCCTTAGACTATGGTCAAAGTTTAATTTACTCTTAAAATCGTAAATGGTTATGTACCTAGAAGTGTTTTAAGATGTTAATAGCAAAATGTACCCATACTAGGTTTTGAATATCCTATTGGAACTATGAATACAATCAACATACATATTGCCTATGAATTTTAATTTTTAATTAAATTAAAGAACTTCGTATTGCTAATAGTTTCATGGAGGCCTTAGCCCGAATAAACACAAACTAAACAACCTTCTAAGGCGCTCTATTAATAGATCCATTTACATAAGCTATCATCTAACCAATCACTTGGGAATAATTTCATTCAACCTTTCTATGTAGACAATTGTAACTATTTTCTATTGTAGTCAATGTCACGTGCATGTTTTAACATTTACACTTTTATAACAGAATTATGAATAACATGTTGAATGTAGAGACTAAGGGTGGAATTTACAAAAGTTTTGTTGCTAGGGCTGTAGAGCAACTGAATCGTGATAAATTGTCAAGAATCGATCTGAGCGTTTTTGTCGCAATATTACGTAACAGAAGTCGACTCTATTTTTTGCACTGTTCACTGTTCACATAAACACGGTTCAGTTTTTGTATGAGATTTTTGAAAATAAACCTGATAAGCCCACTTCCATACCCGCAGCGTTACGACGGTAAACGATCCCTGGAAAATTCCAGAACGAGTGTACCGGGCAGGTTTTTTGTAGCACGCCACATTCCCGTGAAGCAAGACTCTTAAGCTTTTCGTTGATTTAAAATAATAATATTAAAACAGTAAACAGAGCTCCATTTACATATTTATTAAGGATCTGTAAAATACTTAAAGTTATATTTATATTTATGTACTTATTTATATATTTAGGTTCTGAAAAATAAAAGTTCAACTTATTCGACAGTTTAGTAAGTACAGTACTTGCTTTTGTTTAGAAGAAATAAGTTATTTTAGATGTTTGAAGCGAGAATATAATCATGAAACGTATTTGGCTTGATACCGTATTGTAAACAATGAGAGGACGTTTCACCCTTTTTACAAAGTAGATATGTGAAACAATGTTAGGCAAGTAGATACTGACAAAGGTTGCCAAACGATATCGCTCAATATTACCGCATAACTTGCTCTCGGTTAACATAAATACAAAATACAAAATAGCGAACTGTATAATAGCATGTATTGAATAATACTTCTTCTTTCTGGAGTTTCTATTTGGTTGGTTTGCTAGCGGTACGTATGAATCATGTTGTTACTGGTATTGCTTAGGTTTTATACAAAAGATCTCAAACTAAATGACAGTAACAGAACAGGTCACCATTCGGGGCTTAAATGAGTGGCTGTGATTACAACAATCAAACAAATTAAATGCGATTAAAATACAGTCCGATATATGAAATTTAAATTTTTATAGTGCTAATGTGCTAAATGCGGAGTATTTATGAAAATCGACCAAGTGCGAAGCGAACTCGCGCACTTTCCGCACCATTATCTATAAAAACGGTAAAGAAATCCTGTGTGTTGTATGGGAGCCCCACTTAAATATTTTTTTATTTTATTTGTTGTTATAGCGGCAAAAGAAATACATCATTTGTGATAATTTCAACTGTTTAACTATAACGGTTCATGAGATGCACACAGACGGACAGACAGACAGCGGAGTCTTAGTGATAGGGTCCCGTTTAACCCTTTGGGTACGGAACCCTAATGGAACGTGACACTTTTATTCCAGTACCAATCCATGATCCTGTACCACGACTTGGAGCAGAGAGACGCGGCTGAGGCTTCGTACAAAAAGATGCAAATGAGCTGCAACGGGCAGCTCCGTACGGAAATCGCGCCAGCCGGTCCTTTCTATGCCGCCGAGGAGTGAGTACACCCCCAGTTATATATATATATATATATATATATATATATATATATATATATACTAATATTATAAATATATCCTTACTGATATTATAAAGGCGAAAGTTTGTATGTATGGATGGATGTATTTTACTCTTTGACGCAAAAACTACTGAAGGAATTTTTATGAATCTTTACTGTAATATACCAATAAATATAGAATAAGACAAAGGCTATAATTTATGTACATATTTTTAAGTATATCTGTCTTTCTGTCTAAACGTTACGCCTTCAGCCTATTCTACGCAGACGTAGTTGCGGGTAGCAGCTAGTTAATATTAAGTTTACACTCGTTTAAATACAGAGTCTAGATTTGGTTGGACCGATATTTGACATTTTTGACAATACTTACGTCTAGATTTTAGCTCTAATCAATGATGTTTTAATAAAGATAACGCATGTAGGCGTTCAAAATTGTTCTGCCTTACATTATATGGCATTTATGAGTGAATGGGACAGATGACACTGCTATTTCATTCCGTATAGTAATTCTATATTAACTTACGATACGGAAAGAAATATTAGTCTATAGAATTGCAAATCTAATGACACCAATTGGCGTAATTTTGAGTGCCTCAGTTTTGGCGCCCTAGTGTCAAATCTATCTCGTATTTGTATACAATATCATTGGCTCCAGTAACCAAAAATACAGATCAACAGAATATTGAAAACGGCCGTAAAACTCTCATAATTCGCTAATACGCAAAAAGCCTTTTTCGCTTTTTTTCTTATAAAATTATTAATACTTTTACGTTTTTTTCTGTTATAGTATTTATTAAAATAGTAGAAGGGTCTTGGTTGTTTTGGTACGATACACCATAGCAACACGGTACTGTTTACAAAATGTAATGCCGTTTGCATACAAATGTCGAATGGAAGATTATTATCATAGTATCAATTTGCACTAAAATTGTGTCAAGGTCTACTTCTATCACGCATACTCTACCTGTCAATTGTATTCATTATCCTCAAGTTTTAATGGCTCCACTCTTCCCCTATATGCGACACGTCACGTTAATATATTTACCTACCTAATTAAGATTTATTACAATGTCAATGTAACGCTGCCGACCGTGAAGATGTTTTAAAATTTCAGTTTATTCTAGCCATTCTAACCTGGTTTTACGAGTATCTTGACCTAGTATTTGATTAATAGCTGTTTTAAAATGGCGACGATAAAAATATATTTTGCACAGACAAAAAAATCAACATTTCTTTGATAATGTATTGCGGTTTTATATGAAGAGCCCGTTAAATTCGTTTCCATTTGAAATTTATTGTAGAAAAATCTTGTTTCAGCGTTAAATAAATTTATATTCTATGTGAGCTTCTCGGTATAAATCGGTTTTTGGGTCAGAACTATGACTATTCGATGTGTTCCTATGCCGAAAAAGAGAACCGCGGTATAAAATTGACGGACCGGTTTCATCGCACCATTCATTAAACGATGCAAAAAGTCGAAGGAGGCCGGCGTATTGCGGGTTAAACTCGTTCGTGGAACGGTTCCCAGTGCTTGGAAATCGCGAATGGCCTCTTATGAATTTGATCCCGTGATCGTATCAATCAAAGACAATAAACTATTCTTAAGCGAAATGCGTGTTGTTCAATACTGTGGTGTACATGTAAAAAAAAGACTAGCGCGCTCGTGGAGAACGTTTTGATGCTCTGAACATATTACGCTGTTTTTTTTTTTCAGCACTTTGTAGTAATTGCAAGAGTGGCAAACCATCGCACATTGAAGACACATAACTGTAAAACTAAGAGTACTTTTCTGGTGCTAAACTACCGCATCTAAAATAGCGAATACCCAAACTAAAAAAAATCGTATTCAATGTTTAAAAACTAAACTTTAAATTACTAGACAGTGCAAGCAAGTGGGGAATTATCATAAGATATTATGACTTTACTACGCTTTGCGAATTATTGAACATAATAAATAATATTGATGCAGAATACTGACGATAAATTTTCAGTTTCTTTTTCGAGCAATTAAAGCAGCTTACATTTATCCATAAAATAGTTGTTAATTTATTAAAACGGTATTATTCGTTTGTTTTTTAAAAATATTACCCCTTCTAATAACCTGATGAAACATTTTGGTAACCAAATCCATTTAATAACTTTTATAAATATACATATAACTTTCAGTTACTAATAAAATTCTAAACGAACCTAATAGGGACTTAAAAGATAAGAAATTGTATTTTTGATTAATGTATTTAATTATTTTTATTTGATTTTTAATTTGTTTCTAATTTATTATTCGGTTTCATAATACATTAGTTACTTTCATTTCAGTAAGCTTGTTATGGACCTAAAATATTGAAATAAATTGTATTTTTTAATTTATATATTCATGTAGGTATTGATTTATTTGCTGTTTAAATTGTTTTCTAATTTATTATTCGGTTTAGAAATTCATTAGTCACTTTCATTTTAGTTAGCTTAATGGGGCCTTAAAATATTGAAAGAAAGTGTATTTTTTAAATTTACTCTTTTATTTAAAAGAAAGTAAAAGTAAAGTAACAGCCAATAAATGTCTCACTGCTGGGCAAAGCCTCCTCTGTACAGAGGGTATCAGGGCACAGTCCACCACGCGGCCCCACTGCGGATTGGCGGACTTCACATATATTCGAAAATTTTTTTTGTTATTATTTCGAAAATATGCAGGTTTCCTCACGATGTTTTCCTTCACCGCCGACCACGTGATAATTCAGCACTTAAAATTAACAATTTCGTTGGTTCTGGCACCGGGGATCGAACTTAGGTTGCTCGAGTAAATTGAATTAAAGGCGAGCGCCCGGACACTGAGCTATCACGGCTCATTTTATGTATATGATATTTAAATTTTCTGTTACGTAAATCATTAGTCGCTTTCATTTTTTCAGCTATCACCAAAAATATAGGCTTCAAGGCCACAAAGATCTCTGTCGCAGCATTGGGCTGGATTCTTCGAAGCTGCAGACGTCTCATCTCGCGGCCCGTCTGAACGGCTACTTGGTGGGCGTTGGCGGGAGAGCGCAGTTCGAGCAAGAAGTGGTGCGTTTAGGACTGAGCGAGAAGCAAGCAGAGTACGTGAGGCGAGAGTTGGAACGCAATGAAGGCGGCGGATTGGCCTGCTAAATTTGTTTCATTTGTTTATGTTTAAAACGTGACACGATAAGTATTTACTCGTGCGCTGTCCAGTTCTCCAATTTTCTCACTAGAACTCAATGGACCTTTAAAAACGATCTTTAGTTCAATCCGATCGTTGTTGGCTTCGACGTTCGATTGATAAATCGATTGATTGAGAGTGTTTCAGAGAAACCATGGAAGGTTAGCCTCTTCGTAAAGGCAGATACAATAAGTGAACAGGTTTAAAACGTTTATTTTCTCATTTATAACATATATGAATACCACTAGATACGTCGGTTTTATATATTTTTTTAGTTTGTTATAATTGTTATAAACAAGTTTTATTTTAAACCTCGATTCAAAAATTACGGATATATGTTTAGTGATATCGAATTTATTGTCCTCTTTTTTACCTTATGTGTACAAATTCGGAAGGAACGTCCACAAAACAACGAAATTTATTTCATAAATAGTATAATTAATTATTTAAATTGATCGTTTGCGAAAAGGTCCTATTTATATAGAAAATTATTCTTAGTACAGAATTTTGTGACAGGTGTGCATTTGAAAAGATTATAGACAATTTTTTTTCTTTATTTCATTCCATTAAGTAGGCAATGGCATGAACAGCTATAGTTGCAAACACTAATTTTTAACCGACTTCAAAAAAGACGGAGATTTCTCAATACGACCGTATTTATTTTTATTTCTTTTACGTGTGTTCGCGGATAACCGTCATTTATCAACCGATTTTGATGATTCTTTTTTGGAAAGGGTGGTACCATGATAAGGTAACCAGGATCTAATGATTGAATCCCAGGGAAATCGAGGGCAATTCTCAAATGTTATAGGTTTTGAAAATGTTTTTAGTTTCCTGTTTGAAGTCGGTTTTTTTTTTGTTCAAGATTATTATATTCTCTAAGTACTCAATCTCATCTAATTTTGATTATCTAAAGTTTTCGAGATAAAAAATAAAACGCAAAAGTCATGTCAAACATGAATATAGTATTAAATTGAGTGTTTTTAAATTCGTATAAAATATACTTAGAAAAAATTGTATCTTGGAATACTTGTAAATTTCCAATTTTATTTTAGGTACTCATATGTTCTCGACTTCATTAATGATTATAATTATAAAATATATGAATCACAAAACAATTTTAATTAAAAATTCCTTGTTTCATTTCATGTTAACATTTTTTTTTTTTTTTTTTTTAAATTATTCACATAGACGCTTGCGCGTTCTTATGAAACGTCAAAATTTTACAAGAAATGAACACGTTCGTAAGTTACCACCGGTTCGGAAAGCAGTTTCTATAGAAAAAGACCGGCAAGAAACTCAACAGTTGCTCTTTTTAAAAAAAATCAGTTTACAATATAATAGTACATGTACAATAGTCTTGTTTTAGCCTACGTGAGTATCAACAGTATTAACCCCACACATTGGCGTCGTCAAGATATTCAGCAATAGAATAATAGGCTTTAGCCATAAGTTTACTTTTAATTTTTCGTTTAAATTCATCAAGTGGCAGACTTAATATCGACTGTGGGATTTTATTATACATGCGCACACCTTGCCCCATGAACGACCTGTTTACTTTTTGTAAACGAAACAATGGCGTAGTTAGTTTGTCCTTATTTCTAGTATTTAGTTTATGTCTGTCACTATTCTTTAGATAACTATTAATATTATTTTTAACATACAAAATGTTACAATAAATATATTGAGACGCAACAGTGAGTATATTAATCTCTTCAAAAAAGGTCTCTGAGTGTATCCGGGCTCCGATGTGATAGATTGCTCGGACAGCTCTTTTTTGAAGAATAAATATAGAATTTATATCAGATGCACTACCCCACAACAAAATGCCGTAAGACAAGATGCTGTGGAAATAACTGAAATAAACAAGTCTGGCAGTGTCGATGTCTGATAGCTGCCTAACCTTCCTAACTGCAAAAAACAGCGGAGCTTAACCTGTTCGCAAGAGATGATAGATGGGGACTCCATTGGAGCTTTGAATCCACTGTAATTCCCAAGAATACAGCGGACTCAACAGGATTAAGGGTTACGCTATTTAATGTTAAGCTAAACTTCGCCTTCTTACGCTGGGAAGGGTAAAAAGAAGGCATTTAGTTTTTTTAGCATTTAACACCATATTATTAACGGTAAACCAGTGGAGGATACGCGAAAGTGCACTATTCACGTCGTCATAATCCGACACGTTTCGGTCAACCTAAAAATGAGCGATTGTCGTCAGCAAACAGTACAATATCACATAACTCACTGGCATAAAAGATCATTTATATACACTAAGAATAATGGACCCAAGATTGATCCTTGTGGGACACCCATTTTCATGGGGGACCCTGTGGAATTTACATCATTTATAGATACTTTTTGAATTCTATTATTAAGGTAAGAGGCAATGAGATTGAGGGCGATGTCACGAATTGTTATAACTCAAAATCTTATTTATTTACATTGTACTTGTGCCTTTGCCCAGCAGTAGAAAATTAATTTATATAGGCTGTTCTTTATTTTACACTGTCCTCATACGTTAATACTATATAACTTGAATATAGATAATCGTTAGATCACAATTTTAATCGAGATTTAGTCACGTCATAAATCAATCATCGAGCACAGTTATAGTGTACTAGATCTAAAGCCAAGACAAAGATAGATTCTGGGTTAGAATGTTTTGAAAAGGTTTCAAATTCACTAGCGGTGTATTATATAATATATTATTAATATAACAAATTTAATACACCACAATACTAACTTTCGCATAAAAGAAAAAAAACTGGATATTTAACCAAATATATTAATTAATGCCAATTAGTGATTGTTTAACTTTTTTCCTGGCCGTTCGTATTAAAAATATTAAAAGAATGATAACAGATTCCGACGGAGCGTAATTATAAGAGCGTAAAATATTGAGAAATTATTAATTATATTATGGCACCTGTCAATATTTTTTATATAATAAGAAGGTAAATGCTGGCGGTTCAACTAATGTACGTACAACTGATATACGTTTGTCGAAATTCAAACCTTTTTCATGTACTTAATTTATGTTTTTATAAAAATTATGTAAAATCTATACATATAAAAATAAATCCCTATTTCCCTTGGTCACGCCATCACGCGTGAACGGCTGGACCGGTTTCACTTTTTTTCTTTTGGTTGTGTTTGTTGAAGAAGGTTCTTATGAAAGAAAAAATTTAAAAAATTGCCTGAAAGTCACTTCTCTATATTCCTATACAAAAGATTCGTAATAATACTTAAAATTCAATTTGAACTTTAATACCATGCCATAAAGTTTATGTGTTAGTGGAGGGGTTCCGGGAAGGCAAACAAGTGAGTGACTGTGGTAAAATGTCAATTGAAATGTAAACGTCTCTTTGCTGTGCATCACTAGATCGTTAAAGCTACACAACGGATCTTGATACGGTTGTTTTTACTAGATAGAGTGATTCAAAAGGAAGGTTCATATGAATAATCCATTACACCCGTGCGAAGCCGGGTAGGGTCGCTAGTATTATATATTTTTGTGTTCCTTACCTAAACCACAACATAGCTGGTCCTCGCCCCCTGTGCTGTGAGTGCGGGTAGTAGGTGATATCTAAATTTATTCGATACTTTTTCATATCGATACTTCAATTTCGATGCTATTACTGATTAGCAGTGAACGCAAATAAACGTGGAAGCATTTTTGTCGCTCCAAAATTATCTGATTAAACTATTATCTGACTGGAAGAATTTCTAGACATATCGTTACTTAGAAGCGTTACTGAAAGAAACTCCAGCAACGCTTCCATCATTAACTGGGGTAAACCTGCCAGGTACGTGGTGGAACCTAGTATTTGATTGCCGCACTCGCCGGCGAGTGCGGTGTGTTCTTGTTGGTTTTCGTAACTTTTTTATCCTTTCGATGGCGATAGTCGTCTCATCGTCAGTGAGGTCGAGAACTAGTCGCGGTCTATGGTAACTGCGGCGGAACGTACATACCTAGTGGTGTAAGTCTATAGGTGACGGCAACTACGACTAGCGGATTGGGAACAGTTTGGGGGTTATAGAGCGTCCTCTAGTAACTTCCATTATAAGCAGTTTCAGCTCAACATGTGCATAACAAGAGCAAGTATTGAACAACAGATGGCAGTTTAATAAAGTGTAAATTAAGTAGTTTAAAAAAAAAACAAGTTCTTTCGGAGAGCGAGCATGGTGGCGAAATTTTGATTTTAATACTTAATCTTTTGAAAATTTAAATTGTTTTATTGTGCTAATCTTTGCACTTAAGATTGAACATTAAAATATGTAGAAAAAGTGCGAAAAGATTGTCGCCGTTGTGGGAATCGAACCCACGTCTTCGGCATTCGCGGCCTGACGCTCTAGCCACTGAGCTAAACGGCTGATTGCCACATCGACGAAAATCTTAACGCGTTCTTCCACAATGTTTTCTTAGCATTTGAAGCAATGCTTGGCGCCATCTATTGTTATATCCTTTCCAGCATACATCTTTTGATTTTTACAATAGTTTTTAGGGCAATAATAATATTATTAAGGTAGGCCCAAATAAATTAATGAAATATATTATTTATGTACGGTTAGTTAAGGCCGCTAAGGGACGGACGGGTAAGCTATTTATTTTATTAACCGACTTCAAAAAAGCAGGAGGTTTCTCAATTCGACCGTATATATTTTTATTTTTTTTTATGTGTGTTCGCGGATAACTTCGTCGTTTATGAACCGATTTCGATGTTTATTTTTTTGTTGGAAAGGAGATATCCCAACGGTGGTACCATGATAAGGAAACCCGAATCTGATGATGGCTTACTAGAGAAATGAAATCCTCAAATGTTATAGTTCATCAAAAACATTTAGTTTCTGGTTTGAAGTCGGTTTTTTTTTTGTTGAAAATTATACTTGTTTTAAACAGAAAGGTTTCTTAACAGGTAACAAACTTTTAAACTTATTTTCTTTGTAAACTAAAACATATATATAC